ACACACACACACACACACACACACACACACACACACACACACACACAATCACTCAGCCCTTTTTCTTTTTACAGCCGGTTTTTAATTAGTTAACATTCCTAAACTGTTTTTGAAGCTAATTCATTCACTCACTGGTCAGAGAGATACAGTGAGCCTCACTGAGGTGCCAGGAGTGTCTGTAAAACCAACCCTGTGCTCGAGGCCCCATGTTCTAGCGACAGGATTCACGAACAGCAGGAATCGGGCCAGGCGTGCCTGCCGGTTAGACAGGGTCCAAGGAGAACAAAGTCAAAAGGGCAACAGTGCCAGGAGGCAGAGGTAGGGCCTCTTGCAGTCCAGGCTAATCTGGAGCTCACTCTGCAGCTCAGGATGACCCTGAGTTCGGGATCCTCCTGCCTCCGCCTCCTTAGTCCTGGGATTAAGGGAGTGTGCCACCATCACCGGCAATTTAAAATGACTCTTGAGAGTTAATATTATTAATATTAACAGCGATGTCTTAGGTACCGTGTATTGGTGTCTATTTAGAACATTTAATTCTCGCTAATTCTCCCGAAGCTTATGGGAGAAAGGTGGCCCCACCGCACAGCTCCAAACATCCTAGCTAGTGGCTGAGGTTTTATGATTCTCAAGGACCCGGAGCTGTTGGACACAGCAGCTGGGATCACAGCAGGGCTGGTCACCCCCCCCCCCCCCAGCAAGATAAAATAACTCGACAAAAGCATCAAGTCAGTAAAAAAAAAAGTTTTTATATTATACACACTCCCTGTGGTCAGGACAGTGCCAGCCGCTGCCACCCCTACTGGGTCTGTCTTTCTTAGGCCCCCTGAGGCCTTACCCAGTAGCCATTGAGATCTGAAGGACAGGATTCAGGCCTGCCCCTGACGGCTTTGCCATCAAGGGGCAGCCGTCCCTGCCCTGGGGTCAAGGCCCTGCGCACAGCAGTGTTTACCAAAGATCCTGGCTGACGCAAGGGGGGCGGGGAGAAGAGGATGTTCCTCTTGTCACCGCAGGTGTCACGGGCAAGGTCACAGTGGCCTCGCTCCCCTCAATAGGGGTAGGGCGACACGGCGATGAGCAGGACGTAGACGCTCTGGTGGCGGGGTGCTGCGGCGCGCACCGCTAGGCGGTAGAGGCCGGCGCGCGTGAGCGCCCGGCGGGTGTAGACCGCGCCCTGTCCAGCGCGCAGCTGGCGCAGAGCGAAGGGGCTGCGCGGGTCGGGCTCCAGCACGGTGAGCTCCGTGCGGTTGGCGGGGACGCCAGCCTCGGAGAAGGCGGCCAGGCGGGCTACGTCGTGGTGGGCGCGCACGCCGAGGGGCAGCGGTAGCAGGCGGTACTGCAGTGTGGACGGGCCGCTGGCGCTGCAGTCCTGGGAGCAGCGGCGGAAGCAGGTCCTGGAGGGGAGGGGGCACGTGCAAGCTCATCAGCTGCCATCCAGCGCACCTCAGTTCATCCCCGAGCTCCCCCGAATCCCTTGCCCTGAGATGCCGCTGTCAGCCTGTTTCAGAGATCAGAAAATGGAGACCCAGAGGAGCCAGACAGGGGTCCTCTCTCCTCTGGCATGTCCTCCCTCCTTCTCTCCTTCCTGGCCCAAAGCCCAGGGCAGCTCAGTGAGCACACAGCAGTGATAAAACTCAGCCACTCAGGTCCATTCCGAGGTGCCCAAAGAGGTGAGGAGCCTGGGGGCTGAGTCACTTGTCTGGACTCCCAGGGGTGAAAGGAGTTCAAAGACATGTGCTCAGCCTAGGAGTCTCCTCCGCCGCCTGTCTCATTTTCCCTTTGTACCTGCTCCAGAAACCTCCCCAAAGGGTACAAGCCGCCTGACCCGAGGTCCTCAGGTCTTGGTGCTTCTTTATAAACTCAGTGATCTGGGTCCTGGAGTTTGTGAGACTTCTCTAATTCCTATGTTTGGGGGTACTTTCTGAGGTTATGTTTGTTCAAGGAGAGGGGTGTATTACCTATCCCAGGAAGTACACAACGAAAAGGCTGCCTGGGACCTGGGTCACCATGCATGGAGGTGAGCTTGTCCCTGTCTGGTTACAGGTTTGCCAGGTGCCCCGGCCAGGATTTCTGGCAGGGCAGCTTCCCTGGCCTTGGGAAGCCTTCCTGGAGGTGGGGGTCCAGGCATGGCCACGCTGGAGACTTGTGCCCACCCCTTGTACCTCCATCAGCTGGTCCCTTCCTTACCCAGGGCTAGAGCCCTGCCGGTAGGTGGCGGGACAGGGCGTGTCTACACACTGGAAGCTGCCTCGGGTGTTGAAGCACATCTGGCCAGGCCCACACTCGATGCCATCTTCCTCACACTCGTTGATGTCTGGGCAGTAGGGTGCGGTGGGAGATGAACAGATAGAACACAGGAGAGGGAGTCCAGAGGAGGCCAGCAGCGAGGGAAAGAGACCAGCATTCTGAGGCGGAGCCCCAAGGATAGACCCTCCCCAACACCTGTCCCAGGAGCATGTTTTGCAGGGCATGTCTTGTGGGGTGAGGTTCAGAGACATGAGAATAGCCCAGGGACACACAGCATAGCTTGTGTGTCCCTAATCCTAAGTGGGGTTGTGGACCGGCTCTGGCTGGCTCACCCTGGCAGTTCTTCCCACTGGGTAGGAGGCGGTAGCCAGAGGGGCAGAGGCAATAGTAGCTACCCTCTGTGTTTCGGCAGGCATGCTGGCACAGGCTCCTCACTCGGCACTCATCAAGGTCTGGTGTGGGGGGACGGGACAGAGGGCAGAGAGCTGCTGAGTCAGATTGCCAGGTGGCCCTGTGCTCTGAGACCGGTCAGGGAAGCTCCCTGCTCCAGGCAGCCTCTCCCCTGCCTGCCTCACCAGGCCTGCTGCAGGAGGAGTCTCTGGGCTGGTGAGGAATGGCAGCCTCACCCCGTTTCCATCACTGGAGGGGCCGGCTCTATTGATAAAGTCCTGTCCTCTCTGTGTAGTCAGCCCAGCTTATATGGGGCCCAAGGACTACAGGCCTGTACCCTCGCTCCAACAGTCCCTCTTTATGGCTTCACGTTTAACTGGAACATTTTTCCAAAACACCCTCCTTCAGAAGGAATGTTTCTCAAAGTGGGTTTCCCTCAGGCATCTTTTTAGGAGGGCCTCCTAAAAACACCCCAAGTCAAAGGGCTTGAAAACCAACCCTCTTGGAATCCCCTTTGTCCATCAGCCTGGTCATGCCTCTGTCCCTCACTAACAAAATGTCCCCCTGCCTCCACCCCACTTTGCCCACGAGTGCTGGGTTTCTGAGTTTGCCCAGCTCCGTGCCCAGCCTAGGAGCCCAGGGCAACAGTGTGTGTGCCCAGAGCCCGCCTTACCCGCACACACGCCATCCTGCCTTATGAAGCCAGGTGGGCACCAAGCCCGACCCACACTACTCAGAGCTCCAGAACCAGGCCGGAGGGAGACCCAGGCACGGTAGGAGCCGTTGGGCCTGGGTATCCGAGACCGCAGCCAGGGCGCAAATGGACTCCTGTGGCTGACGGTGGTAATGTTTTGACTGCTCCGTTCCAGGGGGCTGCAGGTCCTGCCATCCCGTAGGAGGGTCTGGCCTGGCGGGCACAGGCATCGGTAACTACCCTGGAGGTTATGACACTGGTGGACACAGGGTGTAGGCGGCTGTAGGCACTCATTGATGTCTGTGGAGGAAGACCAGATGGGACGTGAGCTCTGCAGCCTGCGGCTCCCCCAGCTGCCCCTCTTTTTTTCTTTTTAATTTGAGATAGTCTTGCTCAGAATGCTCCTGAACCCTGCCTCTGTCTCCTGAACGCCAAGATGAGATGCACATGCCTCTATGCCTGGCTCCAGCTTCCTGCCATCTTTCCAGAATTCAAAGCCTTAACACACTACACAGGGGTTTCCTACAAGCTGGCCTCCTGAGGGTCCTGCTGCCAGCACCTTCCCTGACCCTAGGTCTTCAGTCAGGGCTGCCTCCCAGCTCTGAGCACCCCAGGTCTGCTGTCAGGGCCACCTCCCAGCTCTGAGCACCCCAGGTCTGCTGTCAGGGCCACCTCCCAGCTCTGAGTACCATCTCATCCACTCTACCCGCTATGCCTCTCTGAGGTCCTGCCCTGGTCTTCAGCTGCTTCACCCCCTTTCTGGCATCCACAGAAGTGTCCCTATGCAGGATCCGGTGAGTGGCCTTAACTGCTGCTTCAGTCTTTCTCAGACTCACCAGACCATAAACACGACTTGTCCTGAGCCAGAGCTGAGTGAGACCCATGACCCAGAGAGCTGCTGCTGTCCCCTTTACCTAGGCAAGGCAGGCCACGGCCTTGCTGGCGGTACCCCCTGGGGCAGGCACAGTGGTGGCCACCGGGAGTGTTCTCACAGAGTTGATTGTAGTGACACCCATCCAGCTGCTCCAGACATTCGTCCACATCTGAGGAGACAGTGGTGTGGTCACAGGCATGGTCATGGTTTGGCCCAGAGGCCTCCTCCAGGGATGTATTCTTCCCCCTCCAGAGCAGGGCCTTGTTTGTCTCTTGTTCTAATGGTGGCTGCACAAGGCTACACACTAGCACTTTGTATCTTCCGTGACACAAAGTTAGAAGGCAACGGGCTTCAGACTCCAAAGAAAAAAAGGGGGCTTAGAATGTGGCTTCCAGGAGCACTGACATCTTTCAGGTTCTGGGTAGGCAACACTCCTTTCACACAAGTTCCTCATGTGTGAGGGTCAAGAAGAGGCCCTATTTGTGTTGGCAAGGGGTGTGTGGAGGGTTTAAAGACTGGTATATAAAAAGAGAGGAAGGATGGAAGGAAAAACAAAAAGAGAAAGGAAGAAAGAGAAGAAGAAAGGAGAAAGGAGGGAGAAGGAGGAGGGAGAAGGGAAGGAGGAGAAAGGAAGAGAGGGAGAGACAGAGGGGAAGGGGGAGGGAGGAAGGAAAAAGGAGGGAGGCAGGAGGGCAGGGAGGGAGGACAGAGGACAGAGGAGGAAAGACTCTTAAGGCCAAGAAAGCTCCAGAAACTTAAAGACTCACAAATATTTTCCTTGGGCTATATAAACAGTAACAATTGCCAAGGAAGAGGAGACCCTTCAAGCTCTTGCCAAGGCTGGGGCAGGCTCCTGCATGACGCAGTTCTCTTTGAGTCACCTGTGCATTTGCAAGTAGCCCCTCAGCCTTACTCTGTACGTAGCTCGCAAACTCACTGGTTCTCTCTGCTAGACTCCACGGAACTGTCTTTTTGGTCAGTTGCTGGTGTCTGATCTAGGATGAATAGATGCTTATTCTAGTGTGCCCAGGGAAATGCCACATGACATAGATGGACCCAGTGCCATAAAACCGTACAATGCATAAAGGTCACCATGCAGGGACAGCACTGGGCTGTCAATGTCAATGCAAAGGCCAGCTGCCATGGATGCCCAGTGGCTGCCAGGAGGCTGTGTTGAGAAGGACTCGGAGGCTGGAGCTAGGCTGGAGCACAGTGCGGGGGCGGGAGAGGAGGGAAGTGGCCTGTTTGCTGTCTCTGACTTACTCCCCCTTCATCAAACACAGGTGGGCAGGGGCCAAGAAAGGAAAAGACAGGACCTAGCTCTGGGCCTCTGCCAAGAGAATTCCAGATGCCCTGAATCCCAGTGACACCCTCTGGTTTCTTGGGAGTAGGGTCAAGGCCCCCGGCTTGTGCCCCTGTCACCTTCACAGCCGTTTCCGTCAGCAGTTACCCGGAAGCCAGGCCTACAGTGAGGGATGCAGTTATAGGACCCCAGCAGGTTCACACAGCGCTGCCCCTCCTGGCAGAGGCGGGCGTCTCCCACACACTCATCCACATCTGAGGGCAGAGCATGCGGGAGAATGCATGAACACGTGCCTTCCCGCTGTCGTCCTTATACCCTGGCCCTATCCACTCACACAGCCTAGAAGTCCCTAGAATGAAGGTCTCCCAGCCTGTAGCTCTTTCTTTTTTTCTTTTTCTTTTAAGATTTATTTGTTTATATGAATGCTCTGTCTGCATGTTCGGCTAGCAGACTTCATTATAGATGGTTCTGAGCCAACATGTAGGTGCTGAGGCTTGAACTCAGGACCTCTGGAAAAGCAGCCAGTGCTCTTAACCACTGAGCTGTTGCTCCAGTTCCCCAGCCTGCAGTGCTAATGGACTGTTGTAGACCATGTCCCCTTGGAGCCCAGTTAGAAAGCTAACTGAGATTTGGTAGGGCCAGACCCCACTCCTGGGAGTGACGGAAAGACATGGGTTAGTATCGGGGTGAGAGTGGACATTCAGGAGAACAGGGCTCCCACGACTTGAAGCTGCTGGGTGGAGACCTTCCAGGCTTGAGTGTCCCTGATATCCAGGAACCACATGTTTGTCTCTGGGGGTCCACCCTGCCCCACCACCTGAGCCTCGGTGTCTTCCAGAAAATGTCACCTCCACAGGCACTGCGTGCTTGGGCCGCACATGAGAAGCACCGGCCCTGGGGCTGCTCACCTCTACAGTTCCTGTGGTCCCAGGCTAGGGTGAAGCCAGCAGGGCAGGAGCAGGAGAAACGGCCAGGAGCATTGTGGCAGGTGTGCGAGCAGGGGCTGGGGCCGCTGGAGCACTCGTCCTTGTCTGGGGAGATGGGAGACTCTGTTTACAGGCTCCCTGGCCAGCTGGCTGGGGTGGGCTGTGCATCCCAGAAGGAGAGGTCAACCTTGCTCATACCAGGGCCTGGGAAGGACTCACCCACGCAAAATGCTCCCTGGGCGGCCAGCTCAAAGCCCTCGGGACAGCCAACCTCATTTTCTTCTGTAATGAAAAAGGAGAGGCCCTGAGGGAGCCAGTCCCCCAGGGCACCGTGGGCTTGCTCTTTGGGCTGGTACAGGCGGTAGCTCCGGGCTGGGAGCTTAGTCCCAGTCTTGAACAAGACATGTGACAGTGAGGCAGTGACCTGGCTCCTGGCCCAGGTTTGTTGGAAGCAGCAGTTATGGGGGCATGCCTGGTCTCGAATCTGTGCCCTGGGGCTCCTGAGGGAGGCGAGGCAGAGAGCCAGGCAAACTCCAGGGAGACCATTAGAGAAAAAGCAGACTGTCGGAGGTCACACATGCAAACATGTGCTCAGGAGAAGCCAGCAGCCACCCCAGAGGGTTGCAGTAGCCATCAGTAGCCAGCAAGAGAGGGAGATGGGCCCGAGTCAGCAACTTCTGGGACTGTCACCCTTAGCAAGGTGGCCACTGGGGGCCAGTTAGGCCTTTAGAGGCAGAGCCTGTACTGCTCATCTGCAGATCCTGGGAAGCTAGCAGTCCATGCCCGCTGTGCCGCCCAGGCCCACGGCTGGAAAGCAGAGCAGGCGGGTCGGAATCAGGGCGTGCTTCACCTCACAGCCTCGCTCTTTCTTTGTTCAGTGGCAAACCCCTCAGGATCTTAAGCAATAATAAGATACTTTTAGAGCATCCCTTGGTTGTGACTACATGGCATGCTCAGGTGCGTCACCAGAGGTCGCAACCATGGCACCTTTGGTACAGGCACCTTGGGAAAAGGAAATGGGGTGTGGTTTAGGCTTGGAGTGTGGAGTGCATCTTTGCCCTAAGTAAAGGCTTCAGAGGTCTGGGGCAGGAGTGGCCTTCGGAGCTGAAAAGTCTGTGCTAGAGTGGGAGGGGCTGGGCTAGAAAGGGCAGAGGAGGAGGTGAGCTGCTGCCTCATGCCACCATGCCCAGCCTGGGCTTAGTGTAGATGGCCAGTTAAATTTGCGACCCGACAGGTCTTAGCTGGTATTGTGGCAGTGGGGCCTCACCAGCTTGCAGGGCTGTGGTGAGCTGGAAGCGCAGGGCCTCTGCCTCAGGGTCAAAGGCTGAGCTGATAGATGAGGCCCGAAGGTGCTGCACCAGCTGGGGCTGGGGGCCCCGGGCCTCATCATACTGGATGCTGTGATTGCAGCGCAGAGAGGCCGGGAGGCTGTCATGGAGGAAGCGCTGCGTGGAGCCCACGAACAGCCGGCCGGGTCCCGTCTGCACGTAGTGCTCCTGGAAGTCCTGGGGGAGGGCGGATTCAACTTTAGAGCAGCCAGGAGGGAGCTGGGGTGCTGCACAGAGAAGACTGGGCAAGCCTCCTCTGCCCCTTCTGCACAGCAGCTGACAGATAGGGGCAGCACCATGCCTGTGATGTTCTTGTTTATGGAGTGGGAGGGATGCTTGCTTCTGAGTGGCAGATCCCCCTGAGGCCCCTCGTGACCCGCTTCTGGGGTACGGGGAAGGAAGGCGGGTCTATCTGCTGAGGGTGGGTGGGTGGTACAGCCCAGAGCTGGTACCTGCACTTGCAGATCTGCGCCGGCCAGGCTCTCTGGGATCATGCCGTTGACCTTCACGTCCAGGAGCAGGAGTCCATCAGGACCCAGGCCCCGAGCCACCTGGGTCATGGTGAGCAGCTCCCCTGCAAGCCATTCCCACCCAGCCTGGAGTCAGCTCAGGTGCAGTCCTGGCCTCCCTCAGGCCCTGCCCCCTGCCCCCAAGAAGACCATGGCCACCTGTGGAAAATTCCAGGTGCGACTCCTGCTGGAAGCTGCCGCCCGTCAGAGAGTAGCCATTTAAGGCCTCTCCGGTCTCTCTAGCCAGCGCCCAGTAGATGGGGGCAATAGTGACCACCAGCACCCGCATCAGAGGCCCTGGGTACAGCAGAATGGAGATGCCGTGTTAGGACGCCATTCTCCTGCCTCAAGATCCCTCTGTGGCTCCCCTTTGCTCCCAAAGGCTCAGCCTTTCCCTCCCTGCTCAGTTTTGTGACTACCCATGCCAGATATTTAGCAGACCCTGCGAGATAGCAAAATCAAACATATACTTTATGGTACAGTTAGAAAAAGCAAATATAATAAAGAAATGCACGGGACGTGATATTTAGCCAGGTTCAACAAAACCAGATTGATGGTCCCCATGGCTCCTGGGATGCTACAGGCTGTCACTATGCGCTGGCTGAGTTGATGATCAACTAAGTCTCCTGTGTTGGAGAGAGCTTCTGCAAGAGCCCAGGAGAGGAAGCAGTGTTCTGAGCCATTGACCTTCCTGGGTGTCATGTGACATCTGGACCTCTTGGGGATAGAAGAGTCCACAGACCTGGCCAGGGGAGCACTGCCCACTGACAGCTTCCTCGGGGTCAGGGACGGTGGCAGCACGTGATGGAAGCTAGATTCCTTGAGGGTGGCAAAACCTTTGCAATTCCTCAAGGCCTCTGTTCCACTAATGTCAAGCTCACTGGACCTGGGCCAAGATGTTTCTCCCTGGCTCCTTCAGAGGAAAGCAGCGGCCGCACCTGGGCAGCATCTTGCTTAGTTTGGGCTCCGTTGACTGTGGCTCAGAGTCTGGTTGTTAAAGTCCCTTGACCTGGGGCTGGAGGAATGTCTCCAGTTAAGAGTATTTGATGTTCTTACAAAGAATCTGGATTCAACTCCCAGCACCCACCCATAGTGGCTCATGACCATTTGCAACTCCAGTTCCAGGGGACCTGATGGCCTTTTTTGGCCTCTGCAGGCACCAGACCTGCACATGGTTGTATGTACATATATGTAGGCAAAACATTAAACACATTTAATCAAAATAATGATTCTAAAGCAAAAAGCAAAACCAAACCAACAACTGAGGCCACGTATGACTTCTGAAGAGCTGCCTAGTAAGAATTTGGTTTGGCTTTTCCCTGCACTGGGTCCTTGAGAGGGGCCTTGAGCCCCCTTTGTAGGCCTGACAAGATAGTGTCTGTGAGGCGCCTGTGTACTCTCTGCTCAGGACATCCTGCTTCCTGAACCTGTGAGCAGGTGCATGCCTCCTCCTCTTCCTCCTTCTTTTCCTCCTCCCCTTCCTCCTTCTCCTCCTCCTCTTCCTTCTCCTCTATCTTCTCTTGCTTTCTTTTTGATTTTTCATGACACAGTTTCTCTGCATAGCCCTGGCTGTCCTGGAACTTGTTACATAGACCAGGCTGGACTCCGATCTAGATCTACCTGCCTCTGCCTCCCAGTTCTGGGATTAAAGGTGTGCACCATTACTCCTGGCTGCCTTCTGTTCTTAGATGTGGAGTTCTGCATCTTTCCTTCTGTCTGTCCCCTCCAGCTCATGTCTGTTAATCATTTCTGGTAAGTCTTCACTCTTCTGTCTCCTCCCTAACTGTAAGTGGCATTACCCATCATCCTCTGAGCTCCCAACGTGGTACCTTGCTCACATCACTCTCTCCCTGACTGATCTCAAGTGCAGTGGCTTTGTCTGGTGATAATGTTAGGGGTGGTGGGAACCTGTGAGCAGGAGAGGGACTCAGCCCTTGAAGGCAGTCCTAACTCCAGGTACTAGGCCTTGGAATAGTCTTTTCTGTTGTGTGGGTCCAGTGTGTGTCCCAGGGGCCCCACATACCCACGCTTGCTGGGACGTGACTGATGCTGCTCCAGATGGTGGGAAGCTCAGAACTGCCCTCCTGTTGCACACTGATGTTGAGAGTAGCCACACCAAATTCCTGGCCATTGATGACCCCCATCATGCTGCCCTGGCTGCCTCGGGGCTCCCCTGTGGAGCAGGAGACAAACAAAAGTGACACATATACCCACTCTGAGCCTTCCATGCAAAGGTATCCTCACTGTTCCCATTTCTTCAAAGAGGGAATTGAGGCTCAGAAAGGCACTGTAACTGGTCCAAAGAAACAGCCATTAGGCAATAGACTCAAGGCATAGAAGATCTTGGCTCTAAAACAAAGGAGAGCAAGTCTGGGGAGAGGGCTCAGCGGGTAAGGTGCTTGTCGTGAAGCAAGAGGACCTGAGCTCGATCCCCAGAACCCACAAAAAAATGCCAGCCATGGTGGTGTACAATTGTAATTCTGGTGTTGGAGAGGCAGAGACAGCAGAGGCTGAGGTGGATCCCTGGGGCTCAATGGCCAGGCGGCCTAGCATGATGGGTTTGGTAAAAGATCCTGTCTCAAAAACAAGTGGACAGCTACTGGGGAGTAGCACCAGCTGTCACCTGGCCTTCATATGCACCCTCACACATGTACTGCACACGCCAGGCATACACACACACAAGGCCAGGCAAGCCATGTCCCTAGGTGGCATCAAGTTGGCTTGTCTAGAGAATGAGGAGGCTGGTCCACCTGTAGGACCTCCAGGAGCTATGATGGCAGGCGTTGGCACGCCATAGGAACGGGGCACCATGCCAAGAACTGAGTGCCATCACCAACGAGTCCTCATTCCACCGGTGGCCCTGGCTCCAGCCGGCCTGCAGCTGCTCTGTCCGCCAGACGCTGCCAGGCTGTCCAAGCAGACGCTCTTTTGCACAAATTCAATGGATTGACATAGGCCCATGGGGCCCCTGCTTCCTTTGCCTAATGAACCAGCTGCCTCCTTTGGGCAGATGGCCTTCCAGGGAACATAAGACAGAAGGGGCCTGGCTCCTCTCACCAGCCCTCCGGGGAAATTAACTACAAATTGCAGATGAGCTGTCAAAAAAAAAAATAACACAGAACATTCCATGGCCAGGCTCTTCAATAGTCTATCAGGACTGGCTAATGCCAGGTTCTAGGAAGTGCAGCCCTTGGGTGGGGTCTGATGATGCCCATCTGGAATGCTTCTCATCAATATCTGTTTCGCAGTGGGGAGCAGGGAGGGAGCTGGCATGAGGAGGGAGGAAGACAGGCATGACCTAGGTCCCTGGAGGCCACAAGAGCCCTGGGATGGCAGGCCGCTTTTCAGAGTTGAGGGGTCTCGGCAGCCTCTTGTCCCCCCAACAGTCAGGGCTAGGACATGCTCCTACACTGTTGGGCAGGAAGACTAAGAGCACCAGGGACTCGTTGGTGATGGCACTCAGTTCTTGGCATGGTGCCCCGTTCCTACGGCGTGCCAACGCCTGCCATCATAGCTCCTGGAGGTCCTACAGGTGGACCAGCCTCCTCATTCTCTAGACAAGCCAACTTGATGCCACCTAGGGACATGGCTTGCCTGGCCTTGTGTGTGTGTATGCCTGGCGTGTGCAGTACATGTGTGAGGGTGCGTATGAAGGCCAGGTGACAGCTGGTGCTACTCCCCAGTAGCTGTCCACTTGTTTTTGAGACAGGATCTTTTACCAAACCCATCATGCTAGGCCGCCTGGCCATTGAGCCCCAGGGATCCACCTCAGCCTCTGCTGTCTCTGCCTCTCCAACACCAGAATTACAATTGTACACCACCATGGCTGGCATTTTGAGGGGGCCTCAAAAACTTTGAACTATTGCTGGGGGGGAAGGGAGAACTCAGTGTTTGCCTAGCCTGCTCCACCCTCAGGACTACAAAACCAGAACCAAACAAACAAATGAAAAACAACAACAACAAACAAAACAGGGGCTGGAGGGCTGGAGGGTTGGAGGGTGGAGTAGCCAATGTGTAAACACGAAGACCTAAGCCGGGATGCAGTGACACAAAAGCCAGCATAACGGCACGTGCCTGTGACCCTGGGGCTGTGGGGACAAAGGGTGGCAAGAAAGGCAGGGCCCTGGAGCTTGCCGCCAGACAGTCCAGGAAACTGCTCAACATTGGGTCAGTGAGAAGCCCTGGCTCAAACAAAAAATAAGGTGGGAGGCTGGGGAGATGGCCAAGCATTTACAAGTGCTCTTCCACAGGACCCAGGTTCAGTTCCCAGCACCTACACCAGGCAGCTCACAAACATCCAAGGAATCCAGCGCCCTCTTCTGGCACCTTCGGGCACCTGCATGCACATGGCACACATAAATTCACAAGGCACATATAAGTACACATACACATACATACATACACATACTCATACACACACACTGACACACACACACACATGAAAGAACCTCAAAATTCCTTTCCACACAAAACCCCTTGAAGGAACTTAAACCAGAGGAATCGTGAAGTCCACCACATGGAGAAGGCGTCCACTGTGTGGACGTGGGAGGGGAGGCTGGAGAAGGAAGCTGTTGTCTGTTTTTCACAGCCAGGAGAAGTGTAGATGGAAACACCCCACACAGTGAAATGAAGCTGACAAAGATGTGTCTCCAGGCAGGTTATCATGGGATGTCATCTGAGACAGTCAGAAAAAGCAGCAAGTTTTGAAGCTAGCCTATAAATGTTATAGAAGCAAGAGCATGTCGATTTATAATTGGAGAGAAACAAACAAACAAACAAACAAACAAAAACTCGAGCCAGGCATGTTGGCTTGTGCCTGTAATACCAGCACTGGGGAGGCTGAGGCAGAAGGATTGTTGTGAGTTCTAGGGCCAGCCTGGGCTACGGAGTGTCACAAAATGAAGCTAAACCAAATTACCAAGAATTATCCAAGCATGGGAGGAAAGAGCCGACTCCACAAAGCCGTCTCTGACTTCCGCCCACGTGCTGTGACTGCACACCACCCCAAGACAAATAAAAAATCTAAAGAGAATCACGTAAGCACTGTCTGCTGAATGACTTATGGGTAATAACTACTTATCTGATTTCAGATTTCTATCTTCTCTGGCTTTTCTGTAATTAGCATGTATGAAGGAAAATGTTATTTCCAGTAAATAAAGAGCGGTGATGGGCTTGAATCCTTCCCCACTCCACCCCTTTTCACATCTTGATGCTCTAACCCCTCAGGATGGGACCTCATTTAGAAATGGGATCTTCACAGAGGACAGCATGTGGAAATGAGGTCATCAGGGAGCCCTGGTCCAGTACGCCTGGTGGCTTCATAAAAAAACAGAAAATTAGAGGCTGTCTTTAGTTACTGTTCTATTGCTGGGAAGAGCCACTACGACCACGGCAATTGCAACAAAAGAAAGTATTTAATTGGGGGCTCGCTTACAGTGTTAGAGGCTTAATCCATGATTATCGTGGTGGGAAGCAGACAGGCATGGCACTGGAGCAATAGCTGAGAGCTTTACATCCTGATTTTCAGGCAGTAGGCAAAGAGACAGACAGTGGGCCTGGTGTGGGCTTTTGAACCCTCAAAACCCACCCCCCAGTGACTCACCTCCCTCAACAAGGCCACGCCTCCTAATCCTTCCAAACAGTTCATCAACTGGGGACTAAGCATTCAAACAAATGAGCATGTGGGGCGCACTCTCAAAGCCACACAGACAGAGGCACACAGGGAGATTGCCGCACGACAACAGAGGCTAAGACTGAGCAATTCTAGCAGCCAAGGAATTCCAGTGAGGGCCAGAAGACACCAGAAGCCAGGGGCATATTCTCCTGCATAGCCCCGTGAGCAACCAACCCTTCCAAGGCTTTGATCATGGCCCAGCCTCCAAAACTGACAATGTCTGTTAATTAATTCCCAGTCTGTGGGACTTTGTTATGTCCACCTCAGAAACCAACACAGAGGTCACACACAGAAAGCTTTGTGGTTTGAACTGGGAACTTGTCACCAGGAGAGAGGAAGAGTTTAGACCAAGTTCTGAAACAGAGAGAGGTCCCTCAGACCTAAAGCCATCCTTGAGTCAGCAACTTCCTCTGGGTGTCTGAGAACCATTTGTTAGCATCTTGCACCTTCTTACAGATGAGGCACCAGAAAGGTTCCCTCATTTGTTTGACAAATGTCAAATCCCATTTTTTTAGGTGCTGGCTAGAGAATGGATCTATGGAGAGAGATTGTGATATGGATAGAGATAGATTGGTGATGTCTGCTATGGACAGGGTCAGAGAAGGGAAAAAATTTTTTTGGACATTGTATAAAGATAGATTGGTGAAGATAATGACATTGTATGCGGTTGGTTGGTGACGTCCGCTATAGACAGGGTTATAGAGGGGTCGTATGGAAAGAGATTCTGGCCCTGTGTGTGGAAATGGATTGGTGACGTCAATCATTGATAGGCGATTCAAACCCATACACATGTGCATTTGGAGCAGAGGCAGACGATCCAGAAACAATATTTTGTGGCGCTGTCTTACTGTGGTCTCCCAGGACACCCCCTGACTGCGGAGAAGGGGGCTGATTAAGGAATCTCTAGATGGCGGGGGCCAGCAACATCGGCAAGCTGCCTTCATTCTGATGAGCCACCAAGGCCCCAGGTGAGACCTGGGATGAGCATTAGTGCACAGGTGTTCACAGCCAGCTTCCCCAGGGGCATTATGGATGCTCTTACTTGAATCTTCCCCTCTTCTCGGAGAAATGGGGTATCCAAATGGAGGAGGAGGGAGCGGTGGGTGCTTAGCCCTTCTGAGATTCAGCTTCCTCAGACAAGATGGCGTTACACAGGTTTCCCACCTGGTTCACGCTCAGCTATAAATACTAGAAGAACTGAGAAAGCTGCAGGGGAGCGGTCCAGGCTCTGCTGGAGGCCTGGGTAGAAACGCTGCTTACCTCTCACGGCCAGCAGCGCCCTGGCTGTGGCAGAGCCCAGAAGGTTGTGGGCGACACACTCGTACACCCCAGCATCTCCAGCTTCCACATGCTCCAGCCACAGGCTCCCATCCGCCAGGGTCCGGAGCCTCCGGCCAGCCTGCAGTGGCCGGCCTGCCCGTAGCCACTCGACTGTGGGCACAGGCTCTCCGGTGGCCTGGCACCACAGCTCCACATCCACTCCGGACCTCACTGTCAGGTCCCGGGGCTCCACCTGGAACACTGGGGCACCTGAGGGAGGAGCGGGACAGGTTTTAGGAACAGTCTTGTCTATTCTAAGGACCCATGCTCGTGTAGATTATTAGAAAGCACCAGAAAGTCTTCCTTCTTCCTCAGCACTACCTACGAGGTGGCTGCCATCTCTTTTGGGGCAACAATGGCTGCCCTCCGGCCTCTGGTGAAGCCCAAGATGGTCAAAAAGAGGACCAAGAAGTTCATCAGGCACCAGACAGACCAAAATGTCAAAGTTAAGCGAAACTGGTGGAAACCTAGAGGTATTGACAACAGGGTTCAGAGAAGAGTCAAGGTCCAGATTGTCATGCCCAAAATTGGTTACGGGAGCAAGGAGAAAACCAAGCCCAGCGGCTTCCGGAAGTTTCTGGTCCACAGTGCCAAGGAGCTGGAAGCACTGCTGACGGGCAACAAATGTTACTGTGCTGAGATTGCGCACAGTGCTTCCCCCTAGACCCCAAAAGCCATCAGAGAAAGAACAGCACAGCCGGCCATCAGGGTCACCAATCCCAAAGCCAGGCTGTGCAGCGAAGAAAATGAGTAGGTGGCTTGTGTCCGTGTTTTGTTTGTGTTTAAAATAAAACTGCCAAAACTGCCATCTTAAAAAAAGAAAAGAAAGGAAACACCAGAAGGTGGGAAGGATATGAGAGTCACTGCCCCTCAGGCACCTGCCTCTGTACTCCCTCACACTCGCCTTTCCTACCAGACCATTGCCATGTGTGCACACTGCTGCTTTTGCTCCATGATGACATCACACATTTGATGGTGTCTCACACACACACCCCCACCGCCCCAAGGTTATATCACTAAGAGCTCGGGGTGGGTAAGAATACTCGCTGTGCAAGCATGAGGGCCTGAGTTCAAATCCTCAGCACTCATGTTTAAGAGGCCGGGTGTGCACTCCCCTGATACTTATTCTGTGCACTCTGATCAGTGCAATGCTCAACCCAAGGTAAGATATCTCTATCAGCCCACCCCCACCCCAAAGCTCAGGGACCATCATGAAAGACAGGGCAGTAAGAGCCAGGGGTCAGGGAGGACCACAGAAAGTGGATACAACAGCACTGCTGAGGTCATCAGCTCTCAGCAGCCCTGGTTGCTTGCACAAGATCTGCACAGGATCAAACCAGCCAACACTTTAACATAAACCAAGAATGGGTTTACAGGGCCCCACCCCTGAGGAGCTACTGATGGCTGGTGGCTTCTGGAGAGTAAATTTTCTTTAAGGGTGTGGCCCCCAGCAGGCTGGCCTTGCTCCGTCAGATGGCCCCACACTCCACACCCAGGAGTAACTTTAAGGGAAAAAAATGGACTCTGTGGCAGCACATATGTGTGTGTCTGTGTGTACGTGTGCACACTTATAACACAAAGCTGGGAGTGAGTGCGGGAGTTAGCAGGAGGAGTGGATGGATACGATTAAAACACATTGTATCAAATTCTCCAAGAAAGTGTTATATTTAAAAGATGCCAATTCCGGCTGTGACTGCCTGTAACTGTGACCCTAGCGCCGTGGGGGCAGAGAAAGGAGGATCGCTGGGGCTTTTGGCGGCCAGTCCAGCTCCAGTCTCAAACGAATAAAGAGCAAAACCCCTGACTATTTCCTCTGAACTCTGATTGAAATTCCACACGCATGTCAGCTTGCACACACACGTCCTCACACACGTAACCACACACAAACACACACACAAAGTCTACTTGTTTTTTCTTTATCTTTTGGTTTTTCGAGACAGGATTTCCCTGTGTAACCCTGGCTGTCCTGTCCTGGAACTTTCCCTGTAGACCAGGCTGGCCTCAAACTCAGAGACCTGCCTGCCTCAGCCTCCTGAGTGCTGGGATTACAGGTGTGAGCCACTGCCACCTAGCACACACAGATTACCTATCAGAGTGATGTTTCAGTGGTCTCAGTGTGTGTAAGCATAATCAGTGATGTTCTCATGATGACCATCTATACACACATTCTTCACTTACAATTAGACCATAGCCAAACTCCATTCAGCGTTCATTTTTAGGGACTGTATGGTATTCCACTATTTACCTCTATTGTGATTTTCTATAGGGAGCTCCAGTAGTGAGATATTTAGATCACTTTCCAGAACCACCTGGCTTTGCTGGCCCCTGAATAGATGGACCTGACACTGCTTCCCCCTCTGTAACATGGGTTCATGGCTTCTATCTATTCCTTTGCCCCGTGAAGGGGCGGAGCAGGAGGGAGGTACCTGGCCCTGGTGAGGATGGAGACACTGGGTGCTTGCACACTGTGGGTAAAAGGGCAGGGATGCCTCAGCTGCGAGACTTGAGCCGGAACAAACTCTCATCAAGCTGGTGGACCAGTGTAGTGGGAATTTATTCTCTCACTGTTGTAGAGGCCAGAATTCCAAAATGGGTCTCACAGGGAATGAAGCCAATGTGTAACGCTGCTTCCACAGGGGGAGGCCTGCCTCTGCCCTGTGTGGCCTCTGGTGGCTGTGGCTCTCTGGGCTGGAGGCTGTGCCATGCCTCCTGAGCCTCTGGTGGCCTCCACAAGGCTGGCCTCTGCAGCCCTCTAACCCCCATCCTGCCTCTCTTGTGTAAGAGCCTGAAACTCCTCTGGGGCCTGCTGAGATAGTCTAAGATGGCGTCTAAAGCTCTCTTTACCCTGATCACACCGTGCTCGCCACAGGTGGATCTGTCTTGAGGAGCTGCGTCTCAGCTCACCACAGCCAGGTCTACAAAAATGTTTTGAAAAGAGTATGTGTACTGTGTAACCTCGTGACTCAGCTCTGGGACTCATCCCTACAGAAATACAGCTGTGCTCCCCAATGGTTTGAATCTCAAGCTGCTCAAAATCCCCCACAGCAGAAGGATTCGCTGGGGGACACAGAAACAATGGTGGCCAAGTGGTGGAAAACCATAGGGCCCCGAAAAGGAAGAGAGAGAGATTCCAACAGCAGGGCCAGTGTCACAGAGCTGTGTGAAGGAGGTGGACCTGTGTCGTGATCCCAGTTAAAGTGTCTTTCAGGTTTTGGTGGAGGTAGAGCCCTGGGCCATGTACGTACTAGACAAGCTCTCTGCTACCAAGCCTGCCCAGCATGAGGATTCCATGTAAATGAAGATCAAGGGCTGGAGACATGGTTCACACACCTAAAATAAAAGGTTTTAAATCTTAAAACAAGAGTGGGGAGACGCCCTGCAGCCCTGGCTGAGCAAAGCCGTCCTCAACTTCAACAGATAGACAAAAAGGACTCCAGGGCCCGACAACTAGGCAAACACCCACAGAACAAAAAAGTTTCTAGAACTTTGGCCCCAGGGCCCGGCTGCATTTTCAGGGGAGGAGACAAATGGCCACTCCAACAGCCTGGCTAAGGAGACCAGAGAACTGCCAGAACTTTAACAACGGAGACGGCTGGCCGCTTCCTTCAGCTCTGGTGGAGGAAGACTAGACAGGGCCGCTCTTTGATCCGATCCACACAGGGTTGAGATCCGTCTCCGCGTCTTCTAGGTGGTCACAATGTCTGGCTGAAACAGTTTTGTGCCAGCGCTTTCAGACCTACTGAGTCACACTTCTGTGCTCCTGTGTGGGCTGGCAGTCCCTGCTCCTTCAGGCTGAGAGTTTCCCGGTTCCTGACTGAGCCAGGGAGTTTCCAACGCGGCTGGGACCAAATGCTTCCAGCAGTGCAATAGTGGAGGGTGTCCTCGCCAACCTCCCTCCTCCACAGGGAAAGAAGACATGGCCTGTTCCTCCGAGGCCTCTGCCGACACCTGGGAACACTGAGGGCCCCCACCAACTGTATAGAGAGACCGTTCCCCAGAGAGAGAAGCGGGGATAATTCTGTCCTCTTTCAGGCCTGCCGTGGAGAGCAATGATGGTTCTTGTTCAGGGCGTGGGGAAGCGTGGGCTGTGCTTCTGTCTGTGCGTGGCGCAGGGTGTGCGAGGTGATTTCCAAGGCGATTGGGACAAGTTCTCTTCCTCCCTTGTCACCGTTTCTTCTTTTTCTATTTGTAACTTTTAATTTAAATTACATTTATTTACTCAGGGGCGGGAGGGGCGGCTCTGTGGTCAAGGCTGCATACCGTTCCTGCAGAGGGTCGAGCTTGCTTCCCAGAATCCACGTGACTCATAACTGCCTGTAACTCCCACTCCGGCCTCTTCGGCCCAACACGCACATGCACACAGAGTTATAATTTTAAAATCTATTTTGTTGTGTGTTGTATGTTGTGTGGTGGTATATGTATATGTTGTGTGTCTGTGTATGTTTGTGTGTGTGTGTGTGTGTAGGGGCACATGTGTTACACCTGTGGAGGTCGGGGGACAACTTCCGGTAGTTGGTTTTCTCCTTCCACTACCTGGGGATTGAACTCAGGCTGTCATTCTTGGTAGTAAACTCACCTTTGCCCCCCTATCCCCCCCATCTCATCAGCCCTGCCATTCCTTAACCAGAGAGGAGAAGCTTTTGTTGGGTTTCCTATCATTATTTTTTGTGAGATCCTAGCTATATTTCCAGATGTCGTCTCTCAGACTCACACAGCAGCTCAGAGGAGACGCACACGTCCTGATCCTTGGATCCTGGGAGCCTCTGTTTCCCTTACTTTCTCCTTCAGGTTTTTTCTGCCGCCTTCTAAGCCCAGGGCTTCTGGCTGTTCTAAGCAAGCATGGGATGCACCCCCTTTGTCTGTTATCGGGTCTACCCCATTCACGACAAAAGAGCCTGAGAAACTCAGGGTAAAAGAACCTCTGCTCGGCAGGACAGACAGTTGCCCTCACATCTGATGGAGAGGACAGGTGCTCTTCACCCAACTGGACTTAGAAAGAACTGCTGAGGGGGGTGTTTTTCTAGGGTGACTGATTGGTGCAGCAAGCAGGGCAAAGAAGCCAAAGTGTAGACTGGAAAGGAAGAAGAGGACTCTCTTTATAGGTGACACACCGGAGACTCCGTGTGGGAAAACCCTACGAAATCTATGTGAAATTCACCAGAATTAAAAACCAGGCTAGCAGCCAGGCGTGGTGGCACCACCTTTAATCCCAGCACTAGTTTGAGGCCAGCCTGGTCTACAGAGAGAGTGTTCTAGGACAGTCCTGGCTACACAGAGAAACCCTGTCTTGAAAAACTAAAACAAAACCACCGTCATCAACAGCAAACCAAGCCAGCGACAGGGAGCGCATGAGATGGAGATATGAAACCCTGGGGCTGGCTGACGAGATGTTGCAGCAGGTGAAAGGCCTTGTCACGTAGGCCTGACTGTCCGAGTGCGGCACTCAGAGTCCACACTTTACATTGTCTGTAGTTGTGCTGAGATCAGCTGGAGGCCTGCAGGCCAGTCAGCCCGGAGCCCACAGCATCGCTGAAACAAGCCAGGGAGAGGGAACTGACCCCCGAAGCTGTCCTCTGGCTCCCATGTGTGATGATGAGGACGATGGAGCGGGCATGGGGCTCAGTCGGCAGAGTGCTTGCTTGGCATGCAAAGAGCCCTGGGCCCAGTCCTCAAAACTGAATAAATTGTGGTGGGGCATGCCAGGAACCCTTGCCCTCCCAGGTGGAGGCAGGAAGGTTGTGAGTTCAAGACTCTGTGACTGCCTGCCCCCCTCCATCAGATCGCCTGTAATTCTACAAACCAGCCAGGAAAACTCCCAAATCAAGCAATTTTAGGCACAATAAGAAAATACTTAGTGAGCAGTTTAACAAAAAAAATGTAGAGGCCTGCTCTGAAGCCCATGATGTGTCCTGAGAGAAACAGAAAAGGCACGGAACAGTGAACTCAGAATGGATCACGTGAGAACCAAAGCTATGAAAAATGTAGACAAAAATGTAATTGAGGCCAGGTGTGGTGGTACACACCTATAATCCCAGCACTCTGGGAGGCAGAGGCAGGTGGATCTCTGTGAGTTCAAAGCCAACCTGGTCTACAGAGTGAATTCCAGGACAGCCAAGGCTACACAGAGAAACCCTGTCTCAAAAAACAAAACAAAACAAAATGTAATTTAGGGGGACTAGAGAGATGGTTCAGTGGTTAAGAGCACTGTCTACTCTTCCAGAGGACCCAGGTTCAATTCCTACATGGTACACCTACATGGTAGCTCACACTTGTCTCTAATTCCAGTTCCAGGCGATCTGACACCATCACACAGGCAAAACATCAATGCACATAAAATCTTTAAAAATGTAATTGAGTTTCGACAGATGTGCGTGCGTTCGTGTGTGTGTGTGTGTGTGTGTGTGTGTGTGTGTGTGCGTGTGTGTGCTCAGACGAGTGCATGGTGAGGGCGAGCTGCTGTCCACGTTGTTTACTGAGGCAAGGTCTCTTCACTGGCTTGGAGCTCATCAGTTAGGTTGGGCTGGTTGTCCAGCAAGCCCTAGTAGGGATCTATTTCCCGCCACTGCCCAGCACTGTGGTTACAAACATGTGCTGCCGCACAGAGCTTTCACATCGTTTTTACATTTACTTATGCATCTGCTCACATGTCTGCCCTGGCACACGTGTGGAGGCCTGAAGACAGTTTGTGGGAATCAGTCCTCAACTTCTACTGTGTAGGTTCTGTGGGTTGGACTTAGGAGGTCTGGCCCAGCAGCAAGCACTCTCGTGTGCTGAGCCATCTCTCCAGCCCCATGCTGGGCTTTTTACATGTGAGTTCTGGGGAGCAGGCCTGGGTCTTCATGTTGGCAGGACAAGCACTTTATTGACCCCAAGGGCTTAAGAAAAAAGATATAACGCTAAATATATAATCCAAAAAGTACAAAACTAGTTAAGAATGGCCTGCCTCCTGTTTTACATTTTAGTCTCTCTTTAAAGGCTTTGTCAAGAAATGTCTCAGAAAAGCCAGAGACTAGGAGAAAGAATTCACAGGTCAAAGAAACCAGAACCAGGCAGACTGCCTTGCACGTGAAAGTTCCAGAAGAGGAAATCTAGAGAAAGCGGAAGCTGATGGGCCTGAGGCCTGTCTGGAAGCGGGAAGTCTCTGGGCTGATAGAAATCTGCTGGGTATGGGAGGTGGTTCTGCTTGCACAACTCCATGATTTTATCAACCACTACTCAGGTGAGGCCTTTTTTTTTTTCTTTTCAAGACTTATTTTAAATTATGTGAATGTGTGTGTATGTGTGTTATGTGTACATGGGTGCACATCCGCACAGAGGCCAGAAGAGGGCGCTGGGCACACCTGGAATCTGACATGGGTGCTGAGACCTGAGCTCCAGTCTCCTGGAAGAATGGTGTTCTTTACCACTGAGCCATCTCTCTAGCCTACCCCAACCCCACTCCACCTTTTAATACTTTTCTTTTTTAGATTAGCCTCATAATGTAGGCTTGGCTTGATGCCCATGGACTCTCAGTAATCCTCCTGCCTCAGCTTCTTAAGTGCTGAGATTATGGGTTTGTGCCACTGAAAGAAGCAGACTAACTTTGTAACCTATGTTTCTTTTAATTTCCTTATAACTTATATTTGCAAGTTTTAGGCCCATGTTAATTAAAGCCTCTTAGTGCTTCTCCAGAGAACCGAGGAATGTAAAAGTTCCCGACATTAGCCATCTGTGAGGGCAGAGATAAGGAAGAGAACAAGCAGAGATCTCTACTAAATGGAGAAAAAATCACCGGCTGGCGCCGGGGAGATGGGCTTTGTTTGGAAACTGGGCCAAATGGCCCAATCCTTCTCCTGACCTTTGATCCAAAGCCTGTAACCCCCACTCCTCAGAACAGACAAGGGATGAGTTAATCACCCTCCCAAATTTAACTGTGGATGGCAGGAAATTCCAAACTGACTTGACGATCAGATATTTACGACAGGGCTGACTGGACCTAAGGGTGACCAGAACTAACCAATTATTTTAAAAGTTAAACATTTCATCCAATTCTAAATTGCCAAGAAGTCAACCCCGGGAGATTCCCGCCTTGTGTCTTTTAAAAACCTAAGGTCTTTGTCTCCCGGGGCCACTCCTTGCTGACCAGCAGGGGTGACCCCATTGTACAATGGTCAAGAAGAGTCTCTTGCATTTTTGCATCGATGGATGATTAGTTTCCTGAGTTCTCTTCATACCTTCTTATATTTAGGCTCTTGCTGGGCCTAACACCACCATACTCACTCAATGTGAATCATAGTTCACCAGAGCTGTGGGTCTTTTGTTATAAAAACGCAGGGCGGTGGGGTAAGGGAGAATGGCTAGGATTGTGTGGGGTGCTGGGAGTTGCTACTGCTGGGTGGGCTTCTGTTGTGGAGTCTCACTCCACAGACATCACACTCCGTCACACATCAGGCTGGATGCCGTCCTTCATATGAAGGTCCGTCTTCAACATACTATGTCTATACGGCTGGGAGACGGCTCAGGAGCTACAGATTCCCCCCACAAACATGAGGACCTGTGTTTAATCGAAAGCTGGGACCTTTGTCACCCTGGTGCAGGACAGGCAGAGCAGGAGGATCTGGAGCCCTGCCTTGGCCACCAATCTAGAGAGCTCCAGGTTCACTGGGAGATCTTGTCTCAGAATAATAAGGTGGAGAGCAGTAGAGGCCTGACGTCAGCCTCTGGCTTCCACATGTTCATGCACCAGGGAGCACATGCCCCCTCCAACACACGGCTTCTGTTACACTCCCGAGACCCCCTCCCAGGATTTCCTGAGGCTCACACAGTGCTACACAAGCTCCGAGCTGCGTGTCCACTGCCACAGCTGTCACTTTAACCTCAAAGGCAGTTTTGAGTCTTGAATAGAAACAATAAAGATAACAGCAACGTTTGTTCAGCCTGAACCTGGATGACTTTTGGGAAGTGTTTCCCGGGGTTTTAATTACATCTTCCAAGAAAGGAACCGCACCCAGCCACAGCTGGCCCCGAGTGCCAAAACACCTGCTCCCCCACCTGCTAGGAACAGAACTGAGACTCACTCTGAAGCACCAGGATCACCACTTTCTTCACAGTGCCCATCTCGTTGGTGGCCAGGCACTGGTACTGTCCGGCATCGTCCATCTGCAAGGTGGGGGGGGGGGGTGCAGGTGCTTGGGTGAGCTGAGCACAGGTGGGTGTCTGTTCTGAGACTCTAGCTGGGAAGGGGTGTGGGGTGGATGATGGACCAGGAAACAGGAATTCCGAAAGCACTGAGGGCCCCTGAGGCCATTCATCTGCTATGTGGGGAATCCAGCCTCCAGGATCTCAGGACCCTGGTGAGGAAGGGTGGGGCTTGTTGCCCTGGGCAGAAGTGTTGGGATAAGCACTTCTCCAGGTGCCCATGGGAACTACTATTGTTCTGCCATAGGGCTTTGGGTGCCCTGGGAATGTTTGCCAAATACTATAGAGCACACTTAAAAATTATGTATGTATTTACTGTTTATATTATTTTACGGATTCACTGTTTGGGTGGGCGGCTGGGCGTGTGTGCCCATGTGCGCACATTCCTGCCTGTGAAGGCTAGAGGTCACCTTTGGGTGTCATTCCTCAGCTCCTATCTCTCCACCTATCCTCTCTAGCCTGGAACTCAACAAGCATGCTAGGCTTAGCTGGCCAGTGAGGCAAAGAGTCAGCCTATTTCCCCGGGGCTTGGATTATTTGAGCTTCCAGGCCCAGTTTTTTAAATGTGGGTTCTGGGGATCAAGTCTTCATGAATCACGACAAGCACTTGGCTGACTGAGCCATCTCCCCAGCCCATGCTTGGTACATTTTAAGGCCCAGGCAGGACTCAGGTGTTTGCACTAGAAGGTGCAGCCCAGTGGGTCTGCAGTGCGCAGGGTCTCGAGCAAACAAGGTCTCCAGTACAGTAGCTCGGTGGCTAAGGCCACTCTTTCCAGAGGGTGTCCTGTCCGTGACTAGTCTGTGGTGATAGAGGGAAACACCTTCATTCTTTTCTCTTCCTGTTGTTACTATTAGATTTTTTTTTTTTTTTTAAGCATTTGTAAAAGGCATGCGCCACCACTGCCTGGCTCTTCCAGAGACTGGGAAGCTGAGTCTCCAAAGACATGGTAATGGGGTAGTGATGGGATCTCATCCATGTGGATCTGACCTCCAGTTCTTCACCCTCAGCTCTGCCTCATGCAGGCCCCTGGGAGCCACCTCTTGGATAGATACCACCTCCTTGGCACAGGTGGGGTCTCATCCTGCCCTGGGTCCATCCCCTCAGAAGTGTGTTTAGTCCCAGCACTCAGAAGGCAGAGGCAGGTGGTTCTCTGTGAGTCTGAGGCCAGCCCAGTCTACAGAGTAAGTTCCAGGACAGCCAGGGCTACACAGAAAAACCCTGTCTCAAAAAACCAAAACCAAATCCAAACCAACCAACCAAAAAACAACAAACAAACAAACAAACAAACAAACAAAAAACCCAGTCTCTAAAATAAAAACAAAACCAAAAACTTGCTAGACCTGTTGCAGGTGTCCCTAGAACTGTTCCGGGCATTCCTGGGATTGTCAGAGGTCAGTGGGTGGTAAGGCACAGACAGTGAGTGGGGCACGGAGAACAAGCAGGGAAGTGGGTGGTGCCAACCTAAAGATCCTCTAAACAGCTGTAAAGGGCTGGGCCCCGCCTTGCCTTGGTCCTGAGGATGGTCAGGGAGCCGTTCCGAAGCTGGAGATAGAGGCTGCTGATGGGCAATGGAAGGCCGTCTTTGGTCCAGTGGATGTCTGGAGCTGGGTCTCCACGAACCACACAGTGTAGCTGGATGCTGCCCCCTACAGGTTCTACCAGGTAGGAGACAGCTTCCCCTTGCAGGACTGGAGCCTCTACAAGAGCCAACACAAAGGAAGTAGCCAGGAGGGAGACTCCAGTGAAGCCCACCATTTCACCAACCTGCTTCTAAACCCTGTTCAGCCCCTGCCTTCCACCTGAGTGCTAAGGGATCTCCCGCTGCCCCAGCATGGCTGTGTGTAGTCTGTACTGGGAGGGCAAACAGCTTGTGGTTGTCATGGGTTGATTCCCATAAACTGGCAGTGGCCACTATGAACTTGTGCTATGATTGATTAGCGATGCCTGAGTGGACACAGGAAGGACTTTGACCTATCTGTGTCTGCGGTACTGGTCCATGCAGATAGATAATCCCAGCTGCAGACCACACTGCCAGGCACTTCGGAAAAGGGCCAGAGGAGCAAGAATGCTGGACACCTGTTGGACACAGAAGCTAAGGGATTTATTTAACTCTCCAAGAAATGCTGGCTCCTCTGTGCTGGTTTGCAAGACTCCTGGAGTCCTGAGATGCAATGGGCCTAAAGCCACACAGACCCAGTGCCTTGGACGACATTGCCTCCAACAAGACCCTCCCAAAGCTAAGCAAAAACCCCCGCCTTCAGGGCTACCTCTGCCAAGGGAACAACAGCAGGCTAGTTATCACTGGGCATACCCTGGCTCTAACGGCCTCTTCCTCCCAAGATACTGTCCAGCTGCAGGTGGGACCGTTAGAAGAGTGTGTTTGGTTTCAGGCATCCCCAAGTCCTACCTGCTGCAGGGCCTGGCTGGCATATCCTGCCCTCCACTCTGAGTTCTCTAGCCCAGGGCAGGGCTTCCCCTCTCCCAGAGGCCTGTCACTGTGTAATCCAGACATTCTGGTTCCACTCTGTCTCTGTCTCGCTCTGTCTTTCCTCTGCTCTCCTCTCCTCTCTCTTTCTGTATCTCTCCTTCTCTTCTTTCTCTGTGCATGCTTTTCTCTCTCTCTTTCCCTCTCCCCCTTCATGGCAGCCAAGAGCTGCTTCCCATAAACCTGCTTTTATATACTGTAACTTCATCTTACCATTAGCTCATTTCGTTATTTCAATTAGAGCGAGTATGAAATACACTGCTTTCTGTGCCACCCACCACCCCAGGGATGAATTTATATGGTCCACAGCAGAGCCCAGGCTCTGGCAGTATAGAAAGTATGGAAAGCCCCGCTGGGCGTTCCCAGCATGCATGGGTGGAGGAGTCACTAGTCAGAGGCAGGATGCTGGTTTCTTAAACAGCAGGAAATAGGTTACAGGGGGAAGTCTATGGAGGAAGATGGCACGGGCTCTCATCCTACCCTTCACGTGGACGAAGCTGACGGCCTGCACACGGCCGACTCTGTTCTCAGCCCAGCACGCGTACGTCCCGCTGTCCTCTCTGGTGACAGCTGCCCGCTGCAGTGTGCTGCCTCCATCCTGCTCAGACACCCCCTCTGTGGGGGAAAAACAGATGCCATGGCTCTCAGTCCAGGAATAAGGTCCTCCATCCCTGGATACTCCACTGAGGCCTGTGTATCCAGAAGGTGTCACAGCAATGCAGCAATGGATGGAAGGGTCCTCTCCATGGGTGTGGCAGGCTGACTGGGCCAGGTCTTTTTTTTGGGGGGGTGGGGTTCGAGCCACAGAGGATATGGTCAGAGACTTTGCCTGCTTTGTGATTTCCAGTTGACAGTCAAGAATAGACCTTTGGGGGCCCTGTGACATAAAGAGCCAGGCAAAGAATTACAGGCCTGAAATCTCAGTGCTTGGAAATGAATTCAGTATGTCCAGCAGCTCAAGGCCAGCCTGGGCTACACAGAGCCCTGTGAGCGCTCTCGTTGGCTAGACTGACTGGCCAGTGAGTTCCAGAGATATGCTTCTCTCTGTCTTTTCAGTACTGGGGTTACAGATACACAACAACATATCCAGTATTTTCCCCCCATGGGTGCTGAGGACTCGAACTCAGGTCCTCAGCAGATACTACCTTTTCTTGCTGTGGGTCAGACATGGAAAGGGCCAGACACTGCCACTGTAGGGGAATTTATTCAGGATGCCCAGGGTATTTCCATGTTGAGCCATCCTGTCCTTGGTACCCCGCTTTTCTCGGTGTCATAGAAGCGGCTGGGACATCTGCCATAACTCCCTTGATAAGACGCCCAGTGAAGCCTTGTCTGCAGGTACCCACGGGTGCTCAGTAGACCTGGCCATGCCCACTGATGCACTCCACAGCAGAAAATGCGCATTTCTAGGGGAGGGCACCCAGTGATTCACTAACAAAGCAGGCAATTGTCAAGTATCTCCTGTGGACTCTGAACCCCTATATTGCCCCGCCAGGTCTCAGAAGGGAGGTCAGAGTTACCTCTGTGGGGGCAGCATTTCAGAGGAAGGGTACATGCACCCCTCCTGACCTGGGGTTTCCGAGGCCGAGTCTTCTGTTCAGACGGCACTGACATATAGCTCAGCTCACAGGCAGGCTCTCCCTGTTTCCTTGCGTGGCCTGAGCCTGACTAGCTCGCTGCCACCCTCCTCCACTCTGCTGCGCTGTTCTCTCAACCTGCCTTCCTCATCCATCTCCCTGGTCCCAGCTACTCCAGGCCACCCCTGACCCGACTCCATGAGGCCCAGACCTGTGACAGGCTGGTCATTGATGGTCCAGCCAATTCGGGGCGTTGGGCTGCCCCGAGCCACACAGCGAAGCCATAGCCTGTCCCCAAGGCGCAGGCTGCGGTCCCCAGGCAAGGTGGTGAGGACAGGCAGTGTCAGGATGGTGAGGTGCACACGGCGGCGGGCACGGCCCACGGCATTCTCTGCGGTGCAGGTGTACGTTCCTGCATCCTGGCCCTGTGGACAGAGGGAGGTTTAGGACAGCAACTACCCCTACCCCTGGCTTGGGCCAGGACATCCTTGGAGACCCATTGCCCATAGGCTCCTATGGCATATCCAAGCCAGCGAAACAGTGACTTCCCCAGATTCTACAGCCAGCAGTAGGCTGAGCTGACTGTCCTGAGGCTAGGCAGGGTGTCTTTCTCTTTCTTTCCTTTTTCCTTTGGTCACCCAAGCTCTGACCACATGACCAGAGCCATGGCACCTGATTTCTTGTTTCCTAATAATTGTACTGGGTGCTGGGCCTTGCGATCAAAGGGACCCAGGCCAACTTATCCATGTTTGAAATACCCAAGAGGTGGCTCCTACCTTGGGGGCCTTTAGTTCTGAGGGCAGATGTCCTGCACAGCATGGGGACAGGGCTAGTGTGTGCCTCACTGCTGTGGGGACGGGGTCTGGGACCATGATAACCGTCGCAGTCGTGTGTCACCACACAGCTGCCAGCTCACTCAAGGAGTGGCTCCTTTGGCAGTCTCGATAATCAAGGGAGCTGGCACTCTGTAGCCCTGGCTCAATGCTTCCCCCCTGGAACTTGGAGGACATTCAGTGCTGAGGCTGGCTGAGAAAAAAAACTGGTGCACTTGGGAGACTCAAAGTTGTCACTATGCTTCCCTGGGAGGTGGCCTGGATTCTTATCACGGACAGAAGCTCTCTTGGGCCATCCAATTGCCTCTGAGCCTTGGCTTATCCTTGTGTGTGGGATACTGCCATCCCGGTTCCCAGGGGCTAAAGGGCTCAGGGGTAGCCTTGGCAAACAGGTGGCATTCCACAGCTATCTGCCACCCTAGGGCCATACTCGATGATCTCGGGGCTGGGCCTCACCTCAGAGTTCTTCACCAGGAGCTCTCCGGAAGGCTGCAGGGTGAACTTGCCCTCAGCTCCAGACACCAGTTGGCCATCCTTTTCCCAGGTGATGGCTGGCTCAGGGCTGCCCTTGGCTGTGCAGGGCAGGAGGGCGTGGGAGCCCTCAATGGCGGACAAATCTGGGAGGCCATTCTCAATGACAGGCGGGACTGCAGGGAGATAGGTGCTCATTTGGGGCTGGGTTGAACTGTGGCACCACAGGCTGCTCTGTGCCAACACCCTTGGCAATACTCAGCCCCTATCAACGTCTACCAACTGCCAGGGCATAGGTCTCTCTGCCTGTGGTTGGGATGGTCAAAGGATTCTGTGTTTGGTGATGTTGTGCCAGGGTGAGCCTATTATACCTGTGTGCCCGAGAGTGTACACACAGGTGCATGTGTATGCACGCATACACACACACACACACACACACTTGAAGTGACGCGGTGGGTACAGAGGCCATGCAGACCCCCAGTAGACAGGCTCCCTGTGAATGACAACCTCAGAGACCATGTGCAGCAAAGCTTGTAGGTTTCCCTCCCCCGGGGACTATGCTAGGGATACAGTGAAGGTCACAGGCAGGTGTACTTGGTTTCATTCATTTGGTGGCATGCATCCGTCCTGGGCAAGCAGGCTCAGGAGGGGCATGGAGCCAGGAGCCACTCTGGACTCATGGCAAAGGTCGACCCTAGCCCCAGAGCCATGGCCATTGAGACACTGCTGTCAGCCACGGGGACAGAGCACCCCGGGCCCCACTGAATGCTCTCTGGCTGTGGAGCAGATGCTTAGCAGACTACAAGGCTCAAGCTAAGAGAGAGCCAGGCAGAAGCTTCTAGGCAGGAGATACAGTTACTGTCGCCAAATTACAAGGAAAGAAACAAGGGCAGGCTAGCATCCCAGGAGGGGGTGGGGAGGCAGAGGGTGGGTGTTTGTGCCTGGAGCCAGACTGTGGCCAAGAGGAAGGAGACTCCCTGGTTCCTTCAGCAGTGCTGGGTAGGGAAGGGGTGGGGATGTGTCAGTCAGGGCTGGAGCAGACAATGCAGAGAGAGCCTCAAAGCATGGGTAACCATGTCTGTCCCCTGCAGGTCCCTCCCGGGCCCACCTTGCACCACCAGTCTGGTCTTTGCCATGGCACTGCCCACGCTGTTCTGTGCGATGCAGAAGTAGTTCCCGGCATCCTCTGGGCTGGCGTGCATGATCCACAGCTGGCCGCTGGGGAGGACCTGTGTGCGTGCTCCTGGATTTGGAAGGATGAACATAAGGCTAGAATCTGGGATGGAGAAAGCCTAGAGGAACTAGAGGTGCCTCGAGATGATCTGTCAGAATTCCTGGTGTCACAGAGTGATGGGACAGACAGGGCACTCCCAGACTTTCTAATTGGCCACTGGGTGCCCAGCTGGGATCTCAGAAAGGACGGCAGGAGGGAGAGGGCGGCAGAGCAGAAGGTGGGACTGTATCTCAGGCCCAGGCCGACCTCTCCCAGGGGTGAGGGCGGGGGACGCATGGCCCTTCCAGCTGGCCATTGTAAGGTCTCACCTTCAGAGATGCTGAGCCCCTCCTTCTGCCAGACGACTGTTGGCTGGGGGGTGCCAGAGGCCTCACAGGGCAGTAGGACCTCCTCTGATGCCACAACTTGAACCACGCCGGGCAGTGGCTTCACCACAGGGGAAGCTGTAGACACAGGAGACAGAGGTTCCTCCAGCAGGAGTCTCTCCAATCAGGATGTGTATCAAAGGAGGAACAGGGGCTCTGAAGCCTCACACTAGCAACAAGGCTGCAGGGAACCCACCCCCTCCCAAAGATTCCAGCCAAGGAATTCGTTTTGGTTAGGCTGAGGTTTTAGGGGCTAAGGCCTCCTCTATACTCTCAGACCCACCTGCCTCCAGTTCTTCTCCTACTCCCTTTACCCTTGGACCTCAGGAGGCCCAGCAGCATCCTTACCTTGCACCGTGAGAGCCATGTGCTTGCGGGCCACCCCTGCCGAGTTGCGAGCTGTGCAGGTATACCGGCCAGCATGGATAGGAAGGGCCTGCTCAATCTCCAGGGCTCCTGTGGGGTGGGGGCCAGGCATGCTTGGGAGAGGGGGAGGGGACTAGGAACAGTTCCTACTGATGGAGGGGCAGGGCTGTTAGCAATGCCCTTTCAAACTCCCTTTGTTGCCCATGGGTAAAAGCTCACTGGGGTGCAGGTTCCAAGCCCACCATGCTCCCTGCCCAAGGTGTGACTGTGAGAGCTTCCTTCTACACTCTAGGCCTCAGTTTCTCCACGTGCACAAAGAGAACCAGAGGAGATTCTACAAGGCTACAAGGCTCTGGGCTCTGGGATCTCAGGGTCAGTTGCTCCTTGCTGGGGACCTCTGCATTTTCCAATATGCTCCTCTCCAAAGCTTCCCGAGACTCTGGAGCCTTCACTCTCCCTGTCCTCTCTCCTATAGCCTTAAGCAGCAGTGAGCCCCAGTTCAACCTTCTCACTGCAAATGGGTTTGGGAATGTTACCTGGGGACCCTCAGGCCTGCTGTTGGGGGGAGGAGAGTGAGGTCACTGGCCTGTAACCCCAGATTGGAAGGAGGGATCCATTGTACCTAGAGAGTCTGAACACCAGGGGCTGCCCTGCCCGGTGGTCTTGAGTGCAGGTTTCCTGACTAACAAGTGTACTCAAGCAAGGAATTCCCATAATGGTTTTTTTTTTTTTTAAAGATTTATTTATTTTATGTATATGAGTGTTCTATCTGCATTTACACTTGCCAGAAGAGAGAATCAGTTCACATTATAGATGGTTGTGAGCCACCATGTGGTTGCTGGGAATTGAACTCATGACCTTTGGAAGAGCAGACAGTGCTCTTAACCACTGAGCCATCTCTCCAGCCCCCCCCATAATCGTTTTTGAGGGGTAAAAGTAATTTTTTTTTTTTTGAGATTGGGTCACATGTGGCCCAGGTTGGCCTCGAACCTACTATGTAGCTGGAGATGACCTTGACTTTCTGATCCTCCTGCCCCACCTCTCAGGTATGTACCACCAAGACAGCTCCACCAAGACAGAGCTCAGGTCTTTGTGAAAGCGTAGGAGAGTGTTCTACAAAACAGGCTATATTCCCAGCAAAGGCATTTTACAAACAACCACCCCTGTTATCCAAATTCCATCAACGATAGGACCTCCCAAAGGCCAAATGGTCAAGAGCATGGTTTTGAAATGAAAGCTAGCATCCCCGGGTGAGCTTAGCTTTACCAACACTCCCAGGGAACTTTTTTTCTTTTCATCAGAAAACACTGATTTCCCCAGGATCCCTGGAGTTCCTCAGATGGGCCTCAAACTGCAGACAGTGCACAGGAAGGGATACTGAGGCTCAGAGAGGGCAAGAGTCTTCCCTCAGGTCACACAGCAAGGCGAGGAAAGTTTGCTTCTTTCCTGCTGACCAGGGCCCTTCCATGCCTTCTGTGTAGCCTCCTCTGCTTGTTCTCCGTAACTTACCTGAGGGCAAGACTCGATAGCCACTGCCCCGAGCGCCCAGCTGGGCGCCTGCCTTGCTCCAGGACACGGCCGGGACTGGTGACCCTGTGCTGTGGCACGTGAGGACCACGGGTGCCATCCTGGTCACTGTGAAATCTGTCTGGTCATCCGCAATAGTGGGAGGTGCTGAAACACAGGACAGGTCCCTGCTGAGATGCAGAGGGGACAGCTGGCTACAGGACCTCGGGGACAGAACTGTTATAAAGGGCGGCTAGGACACGAGGCGGCATGGGCAAAGAGGGCAGAGGCTGGAGCTGTGGGTGTGGCAAAGTCAGACTGTGCAGATATTTTGGGGATGGTCAGAAATAGTTTTCTTGTAGAGAGGTTGGCCTGGGGACTTTGGGGGAAAGCTCTGGGAGAGATGGCACCTAACTGAATCTGGAGGAAAAGCAGGTTTGGCTAGGTGAAGGAAGTGAGTTCCCCAGCAGAGGAAACAGCTTGTGCAGAGGTCCTGAGGTCAGGAGCACCATAGCTTGTCTCAGATCCAGCCATGGGGCAAGCTGTACTTGCAAACATTAGTGGGGCTGGACCGCCAGGACCTTGCAGGTCCAGCTGAAATGTTAGTCTGGCTTGAGGGTCCAGGCAGCTGGGGAAGGAGCAGCTCCAACCCGGTTGATGACAAGGTCAGATCTGGGCTTAGACTGTTCTAGATTGGGGAACTCTCAGGAACTGGTACCCAAACCCGAGTCATGTCAGAGTGGTGGGAGGTGAGACCCAGGAGGGCTTCCTGCAGGGGGTGTCCTCAGAGGCACAGAAGTCTCAGGGTGAAGCCAGCACAAGTCCCTGCCAGCAGGAGAGCTCCCGAGAGGGAGGGCATTGCACCCACATCTCCCGCCTCTGCCAGGACTCACCGTGGACCGTCACCTGGTAGCGCCTGCGGGACTCGCCCACCTCATTGCTCACCACACACTCAAACTGGGCGGAGTCCTGAGGGCTGGGGGCTGTGAGGAGCAGGGCATTGGAAGGCAGGAGCCTGGACAGATGGATGGCTGCAGTGAGGGGCCTGGAGCGAGCCAAAGCGGCCTCCCCATCCCAGGCCAACCTTGCATCTATTCCTAGATGGGACTCTAAGGATCTTCCAGGGGCTGGAGAGATGGCTCAGAGGTTAAGAGCATCTCCTACTCTTCTAGGGGACCCTGTTCCTGTCACCCAGGTCAGGTGACTGACAACTGTTTGTAAGTCCAGCTCTAGGGGTCTGAGGCCCTTTTCAGGCCTCGTGGGCTACTGTGCACACACGCGCGCGCGCACACACACACACCCACACCCACACCCATACCCACACGGCCTCAGCTATTGGGCGTCTGTGTTTCTCTGCCTCCTGCATGTTTGGAACGATGATTCAGAGGCTGACAATTATCTCCAGTCAGAAGTGATGAGACAGGAAGGAAACACTTCTGACGGTCCCTAACCACCGTCTGCACCTGAGACACGGGCAGTGCTCAGAGGCTCTCAGAAGTAGCCGCAGGCTTCGCACATGCCAAGCGAATGACCTGGCACCCAGCCTCCCCCCAAACCCCTGTGTTCTGCTTTCCACGCACTGAATAAGTCACACACAGGCTTCCGTGGGGCCATGTGATCAAGAACCTTCTCTCCTTCCGGCTGGTCCTGTCTGCCTCAGTGTCACACTTCCTCACTGGCCCTGACACATTCCGTCCTCCCGAATCTCTCCGCTGTAGATGGACTGTTCCTTACCGGTAGGCGCCTTGCTGCAGACGGAAGTCCAGCTTCTGCCCATCCTTCCACCAGGTCACAAGGGGCTTGGGAGAGCCCGTGGCCTCACAGGGCAGCGAGGCTGGGCTGTGGGCGGTCAGGGTCAGGTTGGAGGGGCCGGGGGCAATGGCTGGGGGCTCTGGGGAAAGGTTGGTTATTAGAAGACAGGCACGGGGCAGGGACATGGGGACTCTCTAGGGGCTCAGACTTGGGACATCGGCTGCCATCTTCACCTCATCCTGTGGAGCTGGGGGCAGGGTGGGGAGCTCTCCAGGAGGACTGACAGTGGACAGCGGATTGGTTGGGCCTTTTGAGTCCCTGAACCTGGGGCCCTCCTGACATCTCATCCTTGAAGGAGGCTCCCAGGACTTCTCTCCATCAGCCCTGCATGAGGTCAGGGTCCTGCAAGGCAGCGAGGCTGCCATGGGAGGAGATGCTTGACTAGAGGACCCATCACAGTGACAGTGGCCCTGAGTCAGCTCCTTTGGAACACCTGCCGTCCTGTCCTCGGCCATTCATTTAAGGAACGGTGTGTGTCACATGTGTCCCCTGACCACGTGTGGGCAAACCTTTTGCTCCTGGGCTTTATGACCAAAACCTCTTGAGGATCATTGCTTTTGGACCAACTTCTCAGAAACCAAGCAGGACTGGCCCCCGACAGGGGTGGAGGCTGAAGGCGGAAAGAATGCCTTTCCCCGCCTACTTACCAAGGACTCTGAGGTCTAGGCCCTGCCGGTCAGAGCCAGCAGAGTTGGATGCCAGGCAGAAGTAGTGCCCAGCATCTCGTGCCTGGACTGGATGGATCCGCAGCGAGCCCCCGGGCAGAAACTCTAGCCTGAAGCAGAAAGAGGGTTGCCATGGAGACAGGCAGATGGGGCTGGCCCCCTGACAGTGTTCCTAGCGAGATGCTCCTGTCGGCCCCCAGCTTTCCCTACAGAAGGAGTAAAACTCAGTCCTGCATACAACAGAGCAGCATAAGGCTAGTATACACCACCGGCCTCAGGGAGGGCAGGAGGGGCTGCTCCAGGTGGCAGCATCCTCACTGTTTTTGAGAATGTCCCCGATGGCCAGGCTGTGCTATATAATCCCACCCTCAGACAGAGCAGATTGAGTGGGGCATGGCTCATCACACAGGCTGCGCCAATGGCTTTTGGGCCTTGGGAATTTCAGTTTGATATTCACAGAGGGCTCCACAGGCTGTGTGAGCAGGGGAGTAAACTTGGGGTGGGTAGGGGTACCAGCCATGCTTACAGAGGTAGGAGAGGGAAAAAGAGAGTTTGCCATATATACAGAACTAGAAATTAACAGGGTCAGTGGTGTACCTGTCCTTGTGATCTGAGAGCCACCCCCATCCTGTGTAAAGTCACTTTTCCTCTCCAACGGCCCAAATGACTGGCCAAGAGGACCCTAAACCCAAGATCCTCCTAGGGCCCTCCCCTTCTGGCTCCCACCTGGGGCTCTCAGGATCCAGGGGGATCCCATCCTTCCGCCAGCTCACGAGGGGCGTGGGCACACCGTGGGCCTGGCAGGGCAGCAGGGCTGTGCGGTTCACTGAGACGTTCACAGCGTTCGGTCCTGGCTGGATGGTGGGCGCCGCTGGGGAGGGGCAGAGGGCAGGGCTGGGAGCCTGTGGCTCTGAGGGGATGGTGGGTGGGGAGGGGGCCACTCACTGTGGATGTCCACTCGGAAAGCCACGCTGGTGCTGCCCGCGGCGTTGCGGGCCGTACAGCTGTAGTCTCCGCCATCGGCCGTGCTCAGTGCCTGCAGCTTGAGGAACCTGCCCTGCTCTGGAAACTGAGTGTGGGCATCTGCCTGCAGAGATGCCCAGAACGGGGGAAAGGGGGATCTTTATTGGCACATAGCTATGACCCCTGACCTTGGTCTCATGGGTTCGGAACTGAGTCCTCTTGCTGGGAAAGCCAGGGGGGTAGAAGGAAAGGTCTTGCTGGAGATACAGTCAAGAGTCTAGCCCCTCTCCGGGTCTCACCCTCGGGTCTGTGCGGCAGTCCCTCCCCTAGTTTCTGCTTGATCCATGGTTCCTTATGGATTAAACCAGCCTTGGCCTAAACAAGCACCAGGCCAGGAGATCCGAGAAACCTATGAGGCTTGACAGTAATGGTCTCTGCTCCATCTTAGGCTAGTGACAGACCTGCAGCAGAGGACCAGTGTGCCAAGCAACTCAGGAAACAGGAGGGGCCGAGCACTGTCCATAGAGCACTCCAGCTAAAGACCCACAATCCCATAGTCCCTAGCTACAAACTGGCCCCTTGCGAAGGATGGGCACAGACATAGATTTGGGTCATAAGGTCCTCTGTGGAACCTAAAGGCACCATGGAAAGAACACCAGGCATGAAATATGGGCTTGCTTTGGTGCCCAACCATGACCCAGAGTGACAGTAGTCAGCAGGATAGAAGGTGTGCCCAAAGCACACGTGCAGAGCGACGTCCAGGAGACCATCTGTGTCCTGTACCCACCTGGTCAGTGGCCTCAGCTGGAGGTGAAGGGGCTCACCTGAAGCAGGACACCACCACGGTGCCACTCAATCTCTGGTGTTGGCTCTGCCTCCACCGAGCATTCCAGGATCAGCTGCCCTGGAGCCAGGCCAACCACAGAGCGGGGACCCCGGGGCCCAACAACATTTGGAGGGGCTGGGGATAAGAGGACATGAGAGATGGACCTACTCCTGCAGGTTCCCTGCTGCTCCCCCTTCCCCTGTCCCCATGGCATCTACCTTGAACCCTGACCCGGAAGCTCTTCTCGACTTCACCTGCAGGGCTCTCAGCCAGGCAGGTATACAGCCCAGCGTCGTCCACCTGGAAACAGAGCAAGGAAATCAGCTGCTTCCAGCTCCACAGGTCCACCTGTCTTGTCACCCCCACCTTCCAGGCAGCTTATCCCTCCTGAAATTCTTCGCCTTGCTCTTGAGGTGCAACTTCCGGAAAGTCCCTCTCACCCCGGCTATCTGATTTTATCAACTTTGGCTCTGGCCTGCCTGGGAGTCTATAAGGACGTAGGCCTGGGGATCGTGTCGCCAGCCACAAGGCACACAAAAGAGGATCTGGGGAGGCCAGGCAGCTGCCCACTGGACGGCTACAGGTTCTTCTCCAGCCCTAACCCTACCTTCACATTCTGTACCCGGAGCACCCGGCCAGCCCGGCTGTCATTTTCCACCCTGCTCAGGGCCTGCCCGTCTTTATGCCAAGTGATGTTGGGTGGAGGGATGCCTCGGGCCTCGCACAGGAGTTCCAGGTGGGCACCAGGTGTCAGTGACAGCTCTGAAGTCTGGCCAGATTCCTCAATGTGGGGGGGATCTGCAAGATGTCTGCCGTGAGTCAGCTTTTCTCCCCTCCCCACCACCCAGAGGCTCACAGCCAAGGGGTCCAAGAAACAGCTAAGCATGGGGGTCGGTGCTGGGTGGTCACTTAGACATAGACGCCATAGATCCTTGTCCCAGGACAATTATTTGTGTCTGGATCTCAGCAAGGACTCAGTACACGGGGAGGGGACAGAGCTGAGGCAAGTGTTTCTAATACGGCCCCACATGGCACTTTTGTGCTTTATCTTGAGGCTGTGTCCCTAGATGCTGCTGGCTCTTGCTTCTGCCTTTGACACCAAGATCTGGTGGTAAAAAATGTTGGCATAGAGCTGAGGAAAACTGTACTTCTCAGCCATGGTAGCTTGGCATGTGAGGCCTTTGGAGCCTCACACAAGGATAGCTCCCAAGCCTCCAGGGAATTTGTCTTCGCCACCCCCTTTCTGTCAGCTCTAGGGTCCCACCTCACCCTCCAGCCACTGACAAGCTGCTGAGGACAAGGCACCCACCCATCACCGTCAGCCGGAAGCGCCTCCTGGCCTCCCCTGCCTCGCTTGCTGCCATGCAGGCGTAGGTCCCCGAGTCACCAATGCTCACGGCTTCCAGCTTCAGGCCAGGCCCCTGCTCAAGGCTCTGGGGCAAAAAGGGTTCCCCATCTTTCATCCACGACACGAGGGGCAGGGGGCTTCCCCGGGCCTCACACGGAAGGACCACTTCGGAGCCTTGGGCGGCCATCACGTCGTTCTGAAACTCCACCGGCTCCAGGACGGGGGGTACTGACGGGGACAAAAGTGTGGGCAGGGCCCATTTTAGTCCCCTTTGCACAGACTGTGGCCTCTGGTCCTCATGGATATGCCCTCTGGAACTCTTTTGCTAGGTGAGTCTTCCAGCATCCCCTCGTTTGCCTAGTGGAGCCGGGGCCCAGAGCCACTGCTCACTACCATAAATTATGCCTGTCAATGCTAGGGCTCCAAGGTGCCCGCTCACTACTTGGGGGATAAATGATTGGACAATGGAAAAAATTAGATTAGATAGGGGTGGGGGAGGGAACTTTTGTTTTTATCTGACATAGCCAGTGGCAATGTCTGCCCCACCCTGCCCCATACCGAGGACCAGCAAGGTGAAGTTCCTTTCAGCCACACCAGCTGGGCTTGCAGCCACACAGGTGAAGATGCCTGAATCCGCCAGCTGCACCTGAGAAATTCTGAACCCCCTCCCCAAAGGGGCAGAAGGTGGGACGGAAGGAGAGAGAAAGGATAAAAGGGAAAGAGATTGAGGTTGGTTTGGTTTTTTTTTTTTTTTTTTCAAGACAGGGTTTCTCTGTGTGGCCTTGGCTGTCCTGGACTTGCTTTTGTAGATCAGGCTGGCCTTGAACCCACAGAGATCTATCTGCCTGCCTCTGCCTCCCAGAGTGCTGGGATTACAGGTATGTGCCACAGAATGCCCAGAGGTTGAGTTTTTTAAAATCTCATTTTTCAAACTTCCAATTCTGAAGGGGTAACCCTCTAACCCCTGTCTACATCCCTTTCCTGGCCTCCTGGTGCTCCCTGGGTAAAGCCCCTGAGCCACTGCCCCTCACCCCCTGCTCCTCTGCCCCTCTGCCCCTCTGCCCCTCTGCTGGCCTCCTGTGTCCGTCCCCCCTTCTCCAGTCCTTTCTGCTTGCTTCAGACCTCTGCTTCCTAAATTCTGGAAGCTCACTGTCCCACTACACTTCCAGACCTCCTTCCACTTGTCAACCATTCAGGATTCACCTAGGGGCTCCACTCAGTCCCACTTTCTCCTGAACCTCCAGCCTCTTCTGGGCTGCTCTTGTTATGGGTCAGAGAGGATCATGATGCCAAAGCCAGGCCCTGCCCCTTCCTGAAGAGATCCTTCCCACACCCTCCTGTCCCTGCCAAAACCCTTTCCCCAAGTCCAAAGGACTTGCCCTAAACCCGAGCAGCCAGGACATAGTTCACAGTGGTAGAATGGTGCATCTATCCAGTTTCCAGAACCTTCCCTGAATGTCCGCTCCCCAAGCTCCCCCAGGTGCCTGGAAACCACAGTGTCTGATAGTCAGATTCAAAATGGAGTCCCTTTGGTCAAGCCCAAAGTGGCCAGGGAAAGGGCTCTTGTGCATGGCTGCCCAGTGTCACCAGAGAGGTCTGTCAGACATTTGAGCATGTGTGGAGAATGCTCCGTGAGTACATCTGCCCGCCAGCGGCCTGTGCAGCTTCAGACAGGGGCCGCTCTCATCACTGACTTGTGGTTAAGGCCTGTAGTTTCAGAGTATCTTGTGTAATCCTCTTTTTCCTTTAAAAACTTCCCTTTCTGGGATGACAAGGTGACTCAGTGTGTAAAGGCGCTTGCCCTTCGTGCCTAGTAATCTGAGTGATTGCCAAAACCCACGGAAAAATAGAGGGAGAGAACCCCTCCACCATAATAGTCTCTTCTTAGGAGCCTCAAGACCCTGTAACATCTGTCTGTCCCTGCTGTCTTTCTGTCCCTTTTGTGCTCCCACTTCAGGGGCTCCTGGACTTGCTCTTGCCTCTACCTGGACACTGCTCCCCATGGAACCCCAGCCTGGCTCCACCTCCCTCCACCTCAGCACCGGTGTGAGGTGAGCAACTAGTCTTGACCACGGCACCCTCTGTTGTCACTGCGTCTCCTTAATCCCAGCTTAAGTTGTCTTTAGAGCTCATGGCTGGAGGCCTTTATTTTCTGTCCCCCACACTTGGTCCCTTTAGCTACAAGAAGGGGCTTTGCTCAGGCCCCTTCCAGGAAGTCCCCCTTGCTTTCTACCTGGCCATGCCAAATCAATGCACTCAGGTCCTGGCTCTCCCCCTTGGGCTATGCCTACTCCATCAGGCCACAGGAGGAGGCCTCTTCTATATCTGAGGTTCCCCTGCGTCATGGTGGACTCTCCTCGGTCTCCCCAATCACCGTAAACCTCTGTATCTGTACTATTTGTATTCTAATATCCACACAGAAGCATTTGGAGTCTGAGCTGCCTGGAGAATGTGTTGGCAACTGTCACCAGGGACCAGAGGCTGGGCTGCTCCCCTACCTGAGGGTGCGGCCGGAACTGTGAAGGAAGGTGCGCTGGGAGAGTGGAAGGGGCAGGCCATCCTTGAGCCAGCTCACATGAATGGGCGGGGATCCTCGGACGGGGCACATCATAGTCACCAGCTCTCCAGTCTTGCTCACCAGGGTCCCCGTGTCACCATCCCGTTGCTGGATGGTGGGAGGAACTGGGGAGGTAGATTAGAAAGTGATAAGGGGTTGGAGGGAGGGCAGCACCCGGCCCTGAACTTCTGCCGCTGCCAGCCATTGTAGTTAGGTTCCTAGAGTCTTGACCACCCGCTGGAGAGATGAGGCCCACTGTCTGGGACCCAGACTCACTCCTGACACCTGCTGAGCCCGGGGAGCCTGCAGAGTGGCTATCTCCAGGTCTTGAATGGCCTGACTCCACCCACTCATCATCCTGAGGGCCCCCACAGAGGCGCCAGGGCACCGGAGGCTGCCTGCCTCCCAGCCTCAGCTCCTCACCCAGCACATTCACTGTGTGCAGCCTGGCATCCTCCCCAGCCGGGTTGTGGGCCACACAGGTATAGGCACCCGAGTCTGCCGCTCTCAGGCCCTTCAGCACCAGGGAGCTGCCATCCAGATAGAACCTGCGCGGGGAGAAGTCACTGAGGCCAGGGGCACCCAGCTTGGCAGCCCTGGTGCCTCAGGAGGCACAGCCTGGCCTTACCGGAGGTGAGGCCCCACATGCTGGTCCAACGGGCCACCGTCCTTCAGCCAAGCTATTTCTGGCGGTGGCTGGCCTTCAGCCTCACAGTCCAACCGTATCTCCTGGCTCTCCAACACATTGTATTCTTGTGCCATGCCTGAGTTCTGAATCTGGGGAGGCACTGTGGCATGGGCTACGGTGAGGTCCTGGCAGCAGCAAGGGCTGCTGGGGATGGGGCAAACAGGATGGGGTGGAGAGCAGATGTACCTAGTACAGACACCACGAAGTCTTTGCGGGCCTCGGCCTGGGCGTTCTCTGCCACACAAGTGTAGGTACCAGCCTGGGCTGGCTGCAGGTGACTCAGCTGGAGGCGGCCACCTCGGGAGACCATGCCATGCACCACGCTGCTCTCTGTGGGACGGAGGGAAGGCCTTAGGTCTGGTGCTCCCCTCCTGCACTGACAGGGAGACTGAGGCACCAGTGGCTCAGAGGTACCTTTGTAGATCCCCAGTGGCCTAGTTTCATTTCTGCCACTGTGATAAATTACCCCCCCCAAGGCAGTGCAGCAGAGAAAGGGGCCATTAGGCCCACAGTTCCAGGTGATAGTCACCGAGAGGAAGTCAAGGTGGCAGGAACTAGAAGCAGCTGGTCCATCCACAGCAGAGAAAGAAATGGACGCGTGCACACCTCTGTCCACACCTGTGCTCAGCTTGTTTTCTCTATCCGTACACAGTTCAGGACCCAAGCCCAGGCAATGGTGTCACTCATTCTCCGGCTGGGTCTTTCCATGCCAGTAAAGATACAACTTAAGGCGATCCCTGACAGACATGCCCGTAGCCAGCACGATCTAGACAGTTCCACTTTGAGGCTCTCCAAGTGGTAATCCCAGGCTCTGTCAAGTTGGCAGTTACATTAACACCACGACCACCTCCATCAACCCACCTGTGGCTGTCCTGCTTCTCACGCCCCTCCCTCCCACTTAGGCCACCCTGCCTCAGGGTCCCACAGGTGCCAGGGTTGCCGATCAAGGGGACTCGGCCACTGGGTGGCCCCTCACAAGTCAGCCTCGGGGCTCTTAGGACTCTGCTCCCCAGGTTGGAATGCCCCCTGGCAGGGTTGTCATGAAGGTATGAAGGTTGTGCCAGCCCTGCCATCACCCAACCCTGACCCCTGTCCAGCCAGCCTTTCAGCACTGAGTGCATGGACCATTTGCACCCTGTGTCCCACCTGGAGCTTGGGAGGCAAAGGTGAGCATCATGGTCCCTGTCCTCAAGAAGCATGGAATGGACCACAAAGACACAGGACAGCTGAGGGCTGACAGCTGTAACCATCTCTCAGAGTCGGGGAGCTGGGGGGTGGGAGGGCAGGAGAGGATAGAAGGGCCAGGAGATGGGAAGGAGGGTGCCAGAGGGAGATGGGAGGGGCCAGGAAGGGCTCCTCAACCAGGGGCTGCTGGGACAAAGCTTGAGCAGAAATCAGCAGACACAAGCAGACAAGGCCATGAGGTATTCCAGGCAGGGACCAGGAATGTGTGAAAAACTGGAGGCATGATAGTTAGGGTTTGCTGACAGGCTAACTTTTATCCACTCAGAAGAGACAAAAGCACACTCCCACAGAATGCTGAACACCCACAAATGCCTGCATGCCAACCTCACGGCAGCCTCATCATTACAGCCCAAAGGCCGACTAATAGACGCTATGTTACCTGCTCACGCCTTTAATGCCAGCACTTGGGAGGCAGAGGCGGGCAGAGCTCTGTGAATTTAAGGCCTGTCTAGTCTACATAGCAAATGCCTAACCAGCCAGGGCTACATAGCCACATGAAGTATTATAAAAGGAACAGTGGGAAGTAATTAAATTAATTCCTGAAAAGAATAATAGTGATCCAGGCTGCCCAACGAGCTTTCAAAGTCTCAGTTTAAAGTGGAGTAAGGCAGATGCAGAAGGTCACAGGGCCACCATCAGAATGAAATGTCCAGAATGGGCATTTCATGTGGAAACTGCCGGCAGACTGCTGTGGCCGATGGTGGGGTGGGAAGTTGGGGTTAGTGATGGCTAATGGCTACGAGGATTCTTTACTGGGCAACGATGACATTCTAAAATTGATTGTGGGAATGTTTCCACTCCTTGGATACATTGAGAAGCCTTGGATGATATACTCTTCAAATGGCTGGACTGTGTAGGAGGTAAATTACAGCTCACAGGGGAGACCCATTGCCTAGCTGCACAGCCTGAGGTCCCCACAGCTGCCACTAACCTCAGAGCGCACTGTCAGAACCTTCTCCTGTACTAGAGGAACCCGTGGGTCTGAGTCCAGCTGGGGGTGGGGTGCTGCCCTCACCAGGCGCTGGCAGTGGGCAGTGGTGCCCCACGTGGGGGAAGGCCCAGTGTGCAGTAGTGGACACCATAGGATTTACAAGCTGACAGGTCCAGTGTCCACAGACTGACCTAGCAGGGTGTAGAGGTCAAGGGAGAGGAGGAGAGCTTAGATGCGATGACCCATGGCCAAGCAGGAGCAGAGCTGATTGACAGGAGGAGGGGGAGCTCAGGGGTCAAGGCCAGCCTAGAGAGAGCCAGGCCGGAAGAGCCTCTTGCCTTCTGGGTGGAGGGTACAGACACCAGAGGACTCCATGCGGCAGTGGCTCCTGATATTGGATTGTAGTGGCTAATGCAAAGCACTAAAAGGCAAATGGGGTGGGGCTTCCATCATATTGCCAGCCTTGCTTGGGAGGTTTGGAAGGAAGGGAGGGGAAGAGAGAGTGGTTGGGAGGAGGCGATAAAGAGACTAGGCTAGCTAAGAACTTGGGATCTGTGGTGGTTTGGATAAGGCCTCTGTTAGTATCAGCATATAGGTAGGCAGCCTGCCTCTAGGTTGCTTAGCAACCTGTAACGTCACCATTGGTCGCTGCTGCTAGAGGCCTGAGATAAAAGGACCCCTACCTCTTCTCTCTCTCCTTCTTTTCTCTCTGCCCGTTCCTCTGTCTGTCCCTTTGATTCTGTCTGTCCCCCTGATTCTGTCTGTCTCCCTCCCACTCTAAATTCTCTTTTCTAAGTTCTCTGTCTCAGTTTCCCCTTTCCCATAATAAACCTCTTTGTAACCACAACCTGCCGGGCAGCATGTAATTTATATCCCTCGTAGGCTCAGGTATATGAAGGCCTGCTCCCCAGCTGCTGGTGTTGGTGTTGGTATAATGTTTTTTTTTAATGTATCCACCTTACCCTTGTTCATTCAAATACTGATTTCTCCCCCACCCCACCCCCAACTCTCTGGTTTCAATCCGGATATTGCACTGTGATACTCATTCTAAGCATCCTTGTATAAACAGGAACAAAATAAGAGCAACTAGACACAATGTTGAGCAGGGAGGAGCCAGAGGACAGGAAAGAGGGGAGGAGCCAGAAGGCGAGAAAGGAGTGGGAAGAGAAGGAGGAGAAGGGACAATAGGAGAGCGAGGAGAGCAGAGCTGGAGGAGAGATCTTGGAGGACGTAGAGCATGAACCAGACCTAAGATTTCACAAAAAGCAAGTATAATGTGGGAAATCTAAATGTTAGGAAACTGAGGGCTTGGAGGTTTAGGAGGGAGTAAATATTGCCCAGCATTGTGTTCTAGGTTAACTAAAAACCCAGTCTCTGTGTGGTGATTTGGTTGTACAGCTGCTTAAGACTAACAGCAAGCATTACCAGAAGATAAACCAATAGTAAATATTAATAACTTCTTACAACATGTTGGTGTTTGGGGAGGTGACCGGCAGGCCTCGTTGGGGGAGGTCTTTGAGAGCTAAAAGCTTTGCCCCACTTCCAGGTCACTCTCCTTCCTGTTGTGGTTAAAGCTGTGATCCTGCCCTAGCACCGTTCTTGCAGCTCGCTACCTTTCCTCGCTGCTGTGATGGACTCCTATCCCTCTGGAACCACCCACCAAAGCCAATTCTTTCTTCCTTAAGTTGCTTTCATCCGAGCAGCATAGAATAACCAAAGCTGGCTCCTGTGGCTCAGCCTCCCCAGTGCTGGGATTGCAAGTGTGAACCCCCACATCCCATGAGCCCTCAACTTTTGGCAAGAGCACTACTAACTGGCAATTTCCTGGCCTTTCATTGTTGCTGCATTGTTTGATGATAGATTTTATACTAAAATGGCAAGCAGGACGTGTGTACTCACCCACGGGCATTCTGTCCTTTAGCCAAGTAACGGTGGGAGCTGGGATCCCGGACACATCACAGGCTAGGACCAGGGTGTGCCCAGCAACCTGGCTTACTGCCTCCGTCTCAGGTTTCTCAAATGTGGGGGGTACTGCAGGAAAGATGGTAGGTTTCTGCACTCTTCCCTGCTCCCCAGTTTTTGCTTTCCACTCTATTGATGAAGGCACACCTGTTGTATTCACAGATAAAACTAGAAGCCACAGGTGACTGTTTCTAAGTATCTGCCAACCAGAGTCCCAGATGACCCACTCAGCCTGGAGGTGATGAATGCATGGCTCACAGACCAACAGCCCTCCTTGATTTCCCTCATCCCAATACCTAACTTCCAGGCCCAGGCCCGGGGCCTAATCTATAGAACAGATTAGTGCCCAGTATGTCCAATGATATGGCTCTGCTTCTGTGTGAAATTGGCAGGCAGAGGAACAGGATTATCCCGCTTAGTTCTTCAAAGTGTATCACAGGAAGACTCCTATGTGAATTTTTTTTTTTTTTGAGACAAGATCTCAGTCTAGTCTTGAAATAGCTATCTACCCAAGGATGAGGCTTACATACCTTTAGCTCTTGATTCCCCTGCCTCCACCTCCCTCCCACATAGTAAGATTATAGGCATTCACTGGGCCCTGATGCCCATGTCCCCATCACTACCTTAGTTTTTAAAATTCAAGATCTCGTGCACTTGGCCTTTGGCAGTAGAACCTCTTTCCAGCCATTGATCTCATCCCCGGCAGCCCTGGGAGCTGCTTGAGGGTGACAGACCAAGGCTGGGAACTGGACAGGTGAGGCAGGGACCCCAGAACAGTGGTCCCAAGAATGTCCCTGCCAGGCTGAGGTCAGGAATGCCAGGAGAGAAGCCTGGTTCCTGTCTCCTCATGATTGCTCATCCTTGCCTGGAAGTTATAGCTGAGGACGTGACCAGAATTGAGAGGAATGACCAGACTGGCCAGCTATCTCGCTTCTCCCTGGGCCTCTCCCTGCTTCTGCCGTCAGTCCTTTTAAAAGGTCCGTACTAGAACCTCGGTGATACCCTGTTTCTTGGGATGAGCTCTTACTATACAGGAACTTGGCCTCCTCTGTCTATCTGTCTGTTTCTGTCACCCGTGAATGTAAAATAAACTCTCTAAAACTCACCCACTGGAGGCTATGAATTTCATTCTCCAAATTCATGAGGCAAGAACCCTAAGGATACCAGTTCTGGGTGGCTTCAGCGGTCAAGTGGCCATTAGGTTTTCTGGGACCCTAGCTCCCCCAGGATCAGCTCACTGAGAACCACGAGAGGCTCTATTCTCACAATACTGGGGTCCAGCCTGGGCCTGGCTTACCTTGGATGGCAAGGACAAAGGTCCTGGTGGCCTCTCCAGCTGTGTTGCTGACTCTGCAGCCGTACACTCCCTTATCTGATGCCTGGGACCGAGAACACTGTGTTGGTATGTGGAGTAGAGATTCCCCAGACAGTTGTTTAGACTGGGATGCTATAGGGAAGTAGGGCTGGCTGTCCTCTCCCTAGAGTTTTAGGTGGTCAGGGGAGAGACTCAGCCCAGGGTGCCCTGGCCTGCCCTTTACTGTGGGGCTGGAGCTGGATCAGAAGTTAGGAGGCCAGAGGAGACACAAATACTCATTCAACAGACACTTGAGAACTTGGCCTGTACCAGGGTGGAAGGGCATTGTTCAAGGCCACTGTGAGTCAGAGAGCTATGGCTGGAGTCCAGCTCTTGGTTGCCCCAGGCCTTTCCCAGGTCACTTGCAGGGGGCTGTATATCTACTTGGGTTAAGGAGATAGCACCCACATTTTAGCGTATACCTTGCACCTCCCTCCTCCCCAATGCCTGTGGAGGCAGGAAGTGCTGTGCCCACTGCCCAAATTGCCCAGGGCTACTGACCTGTGAGTCCAGGATTTCCAGTTTTTGTCCACCTAGTAGACCCTGAATTCGCTGCCCCAGGGCAAGGGGTTGCTGGTCCTTGAACCAGGTCACAGAGGGCTCTGGGAGTGAGTCTGTCTCACAGCTCAGGACGGCTTTGTTCCCTGCTCTGACCTGGATGGTCTCCTGGGGGCCTCCAGGAGCCTGTTTAAAGCTGGGGGGAACTAAGCATGGGAGGCGCAGTCAGGCACTATGGCTCACCCATATTGCCCCAATACTACCATGGTAAATGGCCCAGGGAGGCCCAGAGGACCAAACGGTGGACCTGACCCCCACAGTCAGTGTTGACCTAGGGTTGCTGGAGAAAGTGGATGCAGGCCAGCCTACCAGAGCCTACCAGCGGCCACCGGAGGACCTGTGCCTAGACATGGCAGGAAAGATGCTGGAAGCAGGGGTTTATTTCCCAGCATCTCCCGACTAGACACAGCCCTCCGTGGTTTCCCTCAGCCCCTGGCTCTCCAGCTAACTCTTTAGACACCCACTTCCAGCTCTAAGCATGCAGGGCCTGGCACAGCTGTGCATTTACAAATGAATAAAACCTGCCCCAGGACTGAAAGGAACTTTCCAGAGTCTTGGCTGCTGACCCTGCAGACCAGCTTTCTCCCAAGGGAATTCCAAAGATGGAATGGGTTACAAGCTAAGAATCTCAGACTTCCTTGCCCAGCTCTTGGAGTTCACCATTGCTCTGCCCCCCCACCCCCAGCCCCAGCTTGACTGCCACTGAAGTTCACACAGTGAGACAAGGGCTGCATCTCCCTTTACCTTACAGACAGGACGTCTGGGGCTCAGAGAGGGGGACATGGCTGCATCAAACCCTGGTGGATCCAACCCTCAAGACGATAATCTAACCCCTGTGGTGCTGTGCTTCTTTGAAGTGGATGAGGGCTTCCCAGAGCCTGATGGGAAGGGTAGAGGATGGCACAGGAGGGACAAGACATACCCAGGACACTGAGCTGGACCACCTTCTGGTCTCGGCCTGCGGCGTTGAGGGCCTCACACAGGTATGTCCCGGAGTCGGCTGGCTGCGCCCGCGCCAGCCGCAGCGTGTGCGTCCCTGTGGGGGACAGTCCCTGCACCAGCAGCCTCAGGGTACCGGGCCATTCTCACTGCCCAGTCCTCCCGATGCGTACAACCCTGTCCCGGCCCCCCACCAGAACCTTGAACTGGGCACAAAGCCTCAGTTTACCAACCAGGAAGGAGGAAAACCTCGTGTCCCAGGGAGAGAGGCCGGCCATCCTTGTACCATGTGACTTCGGGGCTCGGGTGAGCGTGAACTTCGCAGGGGAGGCTGACGCTGCTGTTGAGGGTGGTGCTCACCTGGCTGGCGTTCCAGCCCGAGATTTGGGGGGGTACTGCATGAAGGAAGGAGTGAAGCATTACACAGGTGGTGAGCACAGACGGGAGGCGGGGGAACACCAAGGGACTGGCCTAGGCCCCGGGGGGCAACCCCTGGTAACTCCATCTTGGAGGGCAAGCGTTACTAGCCAGAGCTGCTTTGCACTGGAGCACAGGGCTTAGCCACATAGCTACCAGTGGCAGAACCCAGAAGGCTCTTTGGGCTTTAGTTTGTGGCTTTGAGGACTGTCCAAACCATCCTCAGGGATACAGCTGTCCCCACGTCTGGGCTCACGGCGACATAGTCAACAGCAGACTTGTGGTGGTAAGACCCTCTCACCTGTGACATCCCTTGAAGTAATTTTACAATTGTAAAGCCAGGCCAGCTTCCAGGCTCTGCTGGAAGGCGTCCTTTAGACACATGACAGGTATACAGCAAGTGTTCAATAATGCTGTAAAGCCTTGGAAGACTATCCCCTCCCCCCAACCCAAAGCTCTTCCTAGCCTCTTGAGGTTGGTCCAAACATGACTGAAGTCTTCCAAATGGGTCTCTGTCCTGGGATGTGGCTGGAGTGTAGATGCTCGGATACCCTCAGGGAGAGGCAAGGAGCCCATGGATGTCCCCTCTGAGCCACCTCACCTTGGACCCTGAGGGTGAAGAGTTTCTCTGCAGAGCCTGCCTGGTTCTCTGCCACACACATGTAGCTGGCAGTATCAGCCACCTCCGTGGTGGAAACCTGAGGGTACAGAAGCCAGTGCCGGGGCCAAGGCTGGCAGCTTGGAACGGATCCAGAGCTCTGTGGCACATCCCCACACTGCCACGAGCACCCCCAGCTCCCCACAGCAGATCTGTGGGCTGTAGGTGCTCACAGTGACCGGGAGCAGTCCCTCTGAGGCCCGTCTGGAGCTCTTCCCAGAACCTGTGTGGTGTTCTGGGAAGCAAGGCTGGTGTTGGTTGGTTTTCTGTAGCTAAGTGGACAAGAAGGCCATGCGGGGGCCCGTGCTGATCTCTGGAAGGGTCTGTGCAGCCCTGGAGGGTGTCTAATTCCTGGTTGTCAGGGCTTGCATGTGGCTGCTGCCCCAACTCCAGGCCGGCTCTGGGTGTGGCCCACGTGCTCCTAGTTTGCCAGGAGTAACTGATGCTTACGAACACTGTGCAGCCCCAAATGACTAGCTGAACTCCTCTCAGACACTATTTGATGTGCAGATAACACCTCCATACTCTACTGGCCCAGATGACATCGTCCCTGTGAGGGGTCTATTCCCACCTGCAAGACTCGTCCCTCCTCCAGGACCTGCAGCCGTGGGCTGGGGGACACAGGCAGCCCATTCTGGAGCCATGAAAGAGTGGGTTCTGGGTTCCCCAGGGCTGGGCAGTACAGGCTGACGGCGCTGCTGGCATTCACAGTCACCTCCTCCACCAGCTCCTGTGTGTCTCCCAGGATCACTGGTGGTGCTGGGTACGAGAGGAGAGAGCATGAGAAGAGGTTTAAGTGTTGGGATGAAGGTGAACAGGGACGTGAGGGAAGCTTTTGGTCCCAGATGCTGGCTGGGGGTGTCCTTACTAAATCTTGTGCCCTCCTGACTAAATCTCTCATGCCTGGAAGCAGCTGAGAAATCTGAGCTTCTGAGAGGTTCCAGTGTGTTCAAAGCCACACATAAGACAGTGGCCATCCAGGACTTCAAAGCCACCTCTGCCTGGATTCAGGGCCCAAGCTTGCAACAGTGTTATGAACCTTCTGAGCCCAGAAGAATTGAACCCCCACTCCCCAGGGCCCTCCAGAAGGAGGTTTCTCTGGGACCGGAGCCCCTCTGTCCCTCCTGGCCAGGGTCACTCACTCAGCACCAGCAGTTCGTAGTGCAGCCAGTCCTCGCCCACCTCATTGGAAGCCCTGCAGGAGTACCTCCCTGCATCCCCTGCCTGCACCTGGGGCAGCTGCAGGATTCGGCCTCCTGCAGAAACACAGGACAGGAGCCTGAGCGCAGGGGCAGGGGCCCTGAATCCAGAGCAAGGAAGATGCTTCTCTTCTGGAGGGCCCTAGACATCACCATCACCCTCATCTGCCTCGTCTGCGACGCGGAGGCTCAGTCCAGCCAGATGACAAGTCCATATTTAGTTAATGGCCAAGTCTTAGGTGCAGGCTCAGTACTGCAAGTACTGTTGGTAGCCCATTTCACAGATGGGAAAATGAAGCTTCCAGAAGAGTTAGCAAGAGTGTGGAGTTGGCTGTCTGGGCAAAGGTCAGAGGAGGCATTCTCAGAGGCAGAGATAGCTTCTTGGTCAATGGCAGCTGGTGGCGGGGGAGGAGTTGTCTGGGACCCTTTGTGACCACGAGCCAAGAGCAGAAGCTGGTCTTTAAGTAGGGTACTGTATGCTAATGATTCCAGGTCACCTGTCAAGGCTGTGAGTGGCTCAACCATGGTCAGAAATAAGGTCTCCTGATAAGCAGAGCTCTGAGAGGACGCTAAGGCCGCAGTGGAGCTCAGATGAGATCTGGGGTTGACTTGTGATCAAGATACACATTCAACTCAACTTGCGACCACATCTTTCACACACTCAGGGTGGTGGCCAGGGTCAGAGGTCAGCAGCGGGGCTGAGGTTCATGCTAACCTGTGAGCCAAGTCAGCAGGTGGGGCCAGGGATTAACGGATATCTAGGGTCAGCTTGTATTTAGGGCTTCCCCATGGCTGAGCCTAGAGCAATAGGGTGTGAGCCTAGGGTGCCAGTCTGAGGTCAGAGGGAGGTTAGGGGTCAGTCCAGAGATTTTTCCAACTTGGACATCTAGTCTCCACATGCATGGCATCTCCTTGAAAGCCAAGGGTTCTTTCCCTGCAAGGTCCAAGTTCAAAGCCTGGTGTGACTGCTCATCAGAGACTGTCCTGTGGCAGATGCTAAGCCAGGGGACCAGCCATCCCCCTTGGTGGAGCCAGTGCAGCCTGAACAGCAACAGCAGCGGTGTGGGCAGGGCAGGCAAAGAGAAGCCAGGCTTCTCTAGGCCTCATCCCTGGGTTTTCAATTCTAAGCCAGTCATAAAAGATATTTCAAAATAAGGTCCACTCAAATCATTAACAAACCTTTAGTAAGGAAATACTTTAAATGGTAAAATGAAAGTAGAAAATTTTCATAACCTGTAAGCTGTGAAGATGACATAGACCTCAAAAGCCAGAGAGAAGCTGGATTGTGGCCTGTGTGTGTGTATGTGTGTGTGTGTGTGTGGTATGTGTTGCATATGCTTGTATGTGGGCAGGTACACATGTGTGTCTGTGAGCATATACATGCATATATGTATACATATATGTGTAGGCCAGAGGTCAACTTTGAGTGTTATCTTTCTAAAGCTGTCCACACTGTTTTTTTGAGACAGGGTCTCTCTCTGGCCTGGAGTTCCCTAATGAGACTAGAATGGCTGGCTAGTGAGCCCCAGGGATCTGCCAATCTGCTCGGCCCTGCCTCTGCGACGTGCTCTGCCACTCGTGGCTTTTACATGGGTTCTGAGGATTGACTTGAATTCTCAGGCTTGCCTGGCAAGTACTTCAGTGGCTGAGCCTGTCCTGCTTTGAGATTGTCACATAAAAAGACCTACCTCTCCCTAGAGCAGGGGTTCTCAACTTTACTTACGCTGTGACCCTTTAATACAGTTCCTCGAGTTGTGGCAACCCCCAACCATAAAATTATGTCATTACTACTTCATAACTGTAACTCTGCTACTTTTATGAATCAATACGTAAATATCTGAGATGCAGGGTATCTGATATGTGACCCCCAGCGGGTCATGACCCATAGGTTGGAGAATCATATTATTTTCCTGGGCATTCCAGGTCAGTACAGACCCTGAAGCCCAGACATGGGCTCTGGCCTGGGCCAGGCAGCTCATTTTCAGAATGGCACACAGAAGGCAACCTCAGGCAAGCCTTTTCTTCCACAAATTTCAGCGAAGGTCTAGAGCGGTCACACACACACGCCACCCGAGGCCACATTGCGGGTAGCACACGGCCTACCTTGCAGCAAGGAGACCCTATCAGCAGCTGACAGAGGCTGACCCTCCCTGTACCAGGTGAGCTCTGGCGGTGGAACAGCGTTGGTGTCACAGTACAGGTAGGCCGGGTTGTTCTCCACAATCTCCCGGTATTCTGTCACTCTGCCCTGGGCCTCCTCCTGCTCCTCCTCCTGGGGCAGGAGCTCCAAGCCTGCCTCAACATCGCCCACTCTCTGGAACATCGGGGGCACTGCACAGAGGGAGACCAAACCATTAGGGGTAGTGAAGGGCTAAAGGTGCCCTTCGCTATTACCAACCAGTCGGGGAGGCCCTGCCACACAGGCCACATCCTGTAGCCAGGTCAGCCCCTAGAGACTGCCTGTGAAACTGCCAGTGAGCTCAAGGAAAAGCCCCCTGTTCTGTGGTCATCTCATCTAACTGGCCTCAGGGAGTTCTGGGGGCTGGGTTTGGTGGTACACCGACCAGCCTGGCACTTAGGAGGCTGAGGCAGGAGGATCACAGTGCCAGGCCAGCCTGGACTACAGTAAGACTCTGAATCAAAAGAACAAAATGAAATAATCGAAAATGACTCTCTGTAATTGGGAAGGGTTTGAAGGGAGCAGGGCAGTTGCCAAGTGTTAGTGCCCATTGGCTTGCTGGTACACAGAGGCAGAAAGCCACCAGCTGTTAGGACCTGAGGGGCCCTAAGGTCACCTGCTTTAGACAGATCACCTGTACCTTTTTCTTTTTCTTTCTTTGAGACAGGGTCTCACTATGTAGCCCCAACTGGCCTCAAACTCTCGGAGATCCACCTGCATTTGCCTTGGGGTACTGAGATTAAAGGCATGCGCCACCATGCCTGGCTCAGAACACCTGCATTTTGCAAAGGATGAAAACAAGGTCCAGAGGGGCCAGTGACATCCCAGGTCATGCAGCCCAGTTGTGGTGGTTTAATTAGGCACAGTCCCCATAGACTCATGTGTGTGAATGCTTGGCCTATTAGGAGGTGTGGCCTTGTTGGAGGAACTGTGTCTCATGAGAGCAGGCTTTGAGGTCTCATATATGCTCAATCTACGCCCAGTGTGGTACACAATCCTCTTCTGCTGCCTGCGGATCAAGATAGGGAATTCTGAGCTACTCCTCAAGCACCATGTCTGCCTGAATGCTGCCTATTCCACCATGATGATAAAGGACTAAACTGAAACTGTAAGCCAGCTCCAATTAAATGCTTTCCTTTATAAGAGTGGCCGTGCTTATGGAGTCTCTACCATAAAATCCTAAGACAGCAATAATGACAGGACCAGGGTGAGGCGGCTGAGGGCTTGACGTGGCAGAGGAGAGAGGGTGCTTTCTTATCAGGCCACCATGGAGCAGTGTGGCAAAACTTTGTCCTTCATTTGACTTGGCCTCCAGCCTCCCTGCTTCTCTTCCCTGCCTCCCTTTCCAGCCTCCCTCCCCGCCTCCCTCTCCTTTGGTCCCTTCCTAGCTTCTCTTTCCCCCTTCCCTGCCTGGCTCTTAGCTACCTAATCCTGATTGGAGGCCAGAACCTCCACCATCTGAACCTCATTCGCAGCCACAGAAGACACAGAACTGTTCTGCCTCTGAGATGTTGAGACAGATGGGCAATGGGGAATGCCTAAGAGGGTCTCCTGCCAAGAGCTGGTTGCAGGGCTCTTGATGCCCAGCCAACGTGGCTGCCATGGATCACACCCTCCACCTGGAGCCAGTGTCCTGTCTCAGGCTCCTCGGTTGCCATCACCCAGCCCACCCTGCGGCAGCACGCACCTTGGATGAGAACATTGAAGTCCTGATCATCCTCGCCAGCCACATTGGTGGCCACACACAGGTATCGGCCAGAGTCAGAGACTTGTGTGGGTCGGATCTGGAGCAGCCGCCCCTCCCCCAGGACGCTGAGCCGCTGGCTGGGGGTCACAGGCTAGGGGACAAAAGACAGGGACTTAGATGTAAGATCAAAATTGTTTGTTTATTTGTATTGAGACAGGGTCTCATATAGTCCAGGCTCACTATATAGCCAAGAATGACCTTGAACTCTTGACCCTCGTGCCTCAGCTTCTTAAGTGCTGGGATTACAGGCATGTGCCACTGCACACGCTACTCTATATTTTAATCACTAAAAATCAGAGCATAATGTAAACCAAAGGGACCATCCAGGGGCTTGGTCAACCCAAACCTGTAATGATCTCAAAAGCAGCAAAGCAAAGGGATGGACAGAAGAAATTCATGGTTGGAAAGCATTTTGCTTCCTTTAAAAACGGAAGGGTGAGCAGGGCCAGCTCCGGGGCTAGGTGCTTTGGGGGCTCTCCTTTCTGGGAAGATCCAAACAGGGCTAGTGAGCCCCCAAGGTGAGAGGCTGCCTGGGGTTGTGCGCTCACCCTTCCGTCCTTGTACCAGCTGATGGAGGGCGGGGGCACGGCCCAGCATTCACACTCCAGCGTCAGGGTGCTGTTGACCTTGGTTTTCACTTCCTTCACACTCACCTCTCCTAGAGGGTCATCTTTGGAGATGGAGGGGGGAACTGAAAAGCCACAAGGTGTGTGAGGAGGAGGAGGCCTGGGGAGGGTCCTGAGACCGTGACCCCATTGGTCAAGCTCCCTAAGGAAGGGACTGGTACAATAGGATTCTGGAAGGGAACCCAGCCATGGCTACTTAGAGCCAGAGAGGGCCAAGGGACAGGGATAATGAAGCAGGGGTTCCTGGGGTGGTCTCTAGAGGGCCCGGGAGTGAAGCTGAAGGTACTCACAGGCTGCATCTCTATACCAAAAGTGGCAGGAGGAAGACAGGACGAGGGGGTTGGGGGAGTCTTAACACTATCACCAAGGCAAGATTGGGGAATGACAGAAACCCCCTCCCCGAAGCTGCCTGCTACACTCAGGGAAAACAGGCACAGGAAGGTTCCCTAGGTCTTAAGTGTGACCAGGCCTCTTCTGCCTCTCCAGCCACTGTCCCAGGTTTGGCAGGGGGCTCACTGAGGACTTCCACGTGGTAGTTCTTTGTGGCCTCCCCCAACTCATTGGTGACTATGCAGGTGTACTGGCCGGCGTCTTCCTTCTGGGCGTTCAGGATCTGTAGTCCGTGGGTTCCTGCTTGGGGAGCCATGGCCAGAGTTACCACCAAACAGGGCTTCACCATAGACATAGCTCAGATGGACCTGGCTCAGGGACAGTTCAGCTGTATCCTCAAAGCCCACCCCAGGGACATCACCTGGGAGGAGCTGAATGTTCTTAGAGGCCTCGAAGGGTGCCCCATCTTTCATCCAGGTGATATTGGGGGATGGAAAGGCCAGTGCCTCGCAGATCAAGGAAATTGGATTGTTGATGGTCACGGTCACTTCCTCGTTGGCGTTGTTCTCAGGCTCTCCCAGAATGGTGGGAAGCACTGTGATGGGGGAAGCAGGAAGGCCTTGGCTCACAGAGTTGAACCCTGGGCCTGGGGACCCTGAGGACAGGACAGCTAGGACTCTAGGCTTCTCCTTGGTACTGGAATTGAGTGATGAATGTAGAAAATGGAAGCTCGGGGCAGCCAGCCCTCCTCTGCCACGGAGCCACACTACAGGACAAGATGAATAACCAGTGTCCCTCCACACTGACTCAGTATGTGGCCTACTACTTACTCAACCAAAACGTTCTCGGTTCTGCTGAGAAGAAGGGTGGACTTTTTGGCCTAACTGCTTCCTGGAGCCTAAGCTTCCTTTTCCTGCTCCTAGGCCACTGTTACAGTTTGGGCATGAGCTGTCACAGGAAAGGCTCTCTGGCAGAAAGCCTGGTCCCCAGCTGTGGCATGCTATGGAGATCTGGCACCTGGCTGCTCTTCTGCTTATTTTTGCTGTCACTCTTCAAGTGACAAAAGGAATGACAGCAGTTGCTTGTGGCAGCTTGGGGCTCCCTCCTGCGGCACCTGATTGGCCAGGGGAGGCCCAGCGCTCACCCAGGACGCTGAGCTGTGTGTGTTTGGTCTTCTCCCCGACGGAATTGGTAGCTATGCAGGAGTAGTGGCCGGCATTGGACAGATTGGCCTGGGGGATCCACAGGAAGGCCCCATCTGGGGACATCTCATAGGGGTATTCAACAGCCAGGGACTGGCCATCCTTGAACCACGTGACCTTGGGCAGTGGGTGGCCTATATGAAGAGGAGACAGTGAGGTCACTCAGCAGGCTCTGACCAGGTGGGCTGAGGGGTCAGAGGAGACTTTCAGCCAACATGGATGTGGGGTTTCCATCCCCACTCAGGATGCCCAGCAGGAACAGCCTGGCCTTTCTTCCGGAATCTGACTGCCTTACTGGGGAATGGGCAGAGATGTCTTGGCACAGACAGGCAAGATTCATTTATCCATCTACCCTTCCTTTCATCTATCCACCTCTCTCCCTCTTTTTGTCTTCCTACCTTACTGCTCACTCATGTATGGATTCTCTATCCATCTATCTATCAATCTTCCTTCCCACTTAAGGCACACTTATTAATCCACCTATCAATCCATTCATCCATCTATCCATCCATCCATCCATCCACCTACACATCCACTTACCCACTCACCCCTTCATCCGCCTACACATTCATTTATCCACCCACCCATCCATCTGTCTGTCTTCCCATCCACCCACCTACCCACCCATCAACCTGTCTGTCCATCTATCATCCATCATCCATCCATCCATCCACCCAGCCATCAATCTGTCTGTCCATTTGTCTATCCATCAATCCACCCATCCACCCACCCATCCATCCATCCATCCATCATCCTACCTACATACAAGCCACTCATCTATCCAACCACTCATCCATCCATTCATCCATCATCTTTATCTATTCAAACACTTACCTATCTAGACCCCCAGCCATTCATTCACAACCTTCCCTTTATCCACACAAATATCCACCCACCCTTCAACCCTGAAGCATCAGAGGGAGCCTGGTCTTCTGGACAATGGGAGGAGCCATGGACTCAAGGATCTCAGACCTCACAAATTGTTATGGTCCTGTGTAATCAGTGCTGGGGCAGGGAAGTCCTAGTGAAGTGGGGATTCAGGAAGCAGCCAGACAAACAGGCCCCCTGGAAGGTTCTGGCACATGACTGTAGGCAGCAAGGAGCGGAGCAAACAAGAACCTTGGTAGGTCGCCTCAGGGTTGGGGATTGGCTAACTCAGGCTTGACATGCCTGGTAGCCCTCACCTGTGGCATTACACACGAGCTGGGCAGTCTGTCCCTCGGGCACCTTGATCACTTCCTCCAAGTCTTCATTTTCAATACTGGGAGGAACTACGAGGAGCAGGGAGACAAACGGTTGCCAACTGGGTGGCCCACCCAGGCTACCCATCCACAGAGCAGGAAGCTGTTTCCTGTGCCTCCATTTCCCCATCCCCCCATGCCCACTCCTACCCAGATGTCCATCTAATGTATTGTTGCTGCTGGGGAGACTGAGCAGAGAAGTCAGTGCAGTGCTGAGAATATTTGCTTCCCCTACTTTGGGTTAGTTCTTACTGTTTCTGGAAATTTTGAAGGCAGCCTCAGAACAGAGGGTGTGTGTGTGTGTGTGTGTGTGTGTGTCTCGTAGGTATGGTGAGGTGGTGTGTGTGTGTCGTGTGAATGTGTGGTGCATTCAAGTTTCACTCCTCAGGAAGCATTCACTTCCCCAGCGTCTCTGGCCCAGGATTTGCCAAGCAGGCCAGGCTTGGCAAACTCAAAGGAGCTTCCCATTTCCACCCCCTAAGTGCCAGGATTCCGAGTGAGTGCCGCTGCACCCAGAATGTTTTCTTTTACCTGGGACCTGGGGTCAAACACAGGTCCTCACACCTGCACCACGTGCACTTTATTGACTGAGCCATCTCTCCAGCCCCCAGGGCAAGGGCTTCGTTGAAGCAAGGAAATCGGGGCCCTTCCCAATCTCTGTCTGCCCTAGAAGTGCCCCAGCAGGAGGAGAACACGGAGACGCATCCTACCCAGGACCTCCACGCTGAAGTCCCTCCGCGCCTCCCCGGCCTCATTGCTGGCCAGGCACGAATAGAGGCCTCTGTCCTGCTCCCGGGCTGGGGTCATCTTGAGCATCCAGCCACCTGGGGAGGGAAGGGAAGGTGTGGGCTCAGCAGCCTCACCCAGCTCATGATCTGCAAGTATCTGCCTCCCACTGTTCCGTTCCTCGAGTAAAGAATCTGAGACCTGTGAGAGTAAACAAGGATAGAGCGCAATAGATAGAAAAATTCTCGGACCCTGTTACAGCAAGAAGGAGCTGACATGCTGGCTCTCAGTGGCTCTGGGCTAGGGCTGAGAGACAGACAGCTATACAGTCCTCTTCTATTTCAGATGCTCATTTTGTCTCAAGAGTCTTAGAAAAAAAAAGGGGGGGGGCTTCTCTTCCAGGGACCTTTGCAGTGGAGCTGGTTCCTCAGAGAGAAACCAGATACTGTAAGACTGACTTGGGACAGATAACACACATATCATCATCATTATCATCATCACCACTCTTCTTCCACTCACGGCAGACATTACTAGTTGATTGCCAGTCTCCCTTGTGCAGCACCATGCTCCAGTCTCTGTGCTCCTGTCTATACATCTGGCGACTTCTACCAAATGAGACACGTGTTTGCAATCCCGCAGCTGCTGGGTCACTGAGCTCGGCAGCTCAGGGTCAGAGGTCACAGGCATCTAACAGAAAGGCTGGTCCCGAAAGACACTTGGCTTAGTGTCTTACCTGCCAAGAGGTAGGTGTCCTCTCTGGGGCTGATTGGCTGTCCCTCTCGAAACCACTGGACAGTTGGGGGAGGAATCCCTGTGGCTTCACAGAGCAGTGTCAAAGGACCACGCAAGGCAGCAGTGACATTGGTCAATGAGTCTGAGTCTTCAGTGAATTGAGGAGGCACTAGACCCAGGGAGAACCACATTCAGAATGTAGATAGGAGCTGGACTTCTTTCCCACTTCACTCTCTGTCCACCTAAGGACTCATGGCCCCACTGGAGGGACCATGAACTGGGAGGGTCTCAGCTGCTTCCATCAAAGATATGATATCCACAGGGGTATTAATTTTGGCCACAAGTGGGTTTTGGGACCAGGCAGGCATCTCAGGCCTCAGTTTCCCCATCCTTTCAGAGAGATACAGAGAGGTTTCTTTTCCTTCCTTCCTTCCTTCCTTCCTTCCTTCCTTCCTTCCTTCTTTCCTTCCTTCCTCTCTCTCTCCCCCTCTTTCTCCCTTCCTTCCTTCCTTCCTTCCTTCCTTCCTTCCTTCCTTCCTTCCTTCCTTCCTTCCTTCCTTAGGTAGTATCTTACATAGCCCAGGCTAGCCTTCACCTTGCTATGTAGCCAAGGAAGATCTTGAATTTCTCATCTTGTCTCTACCTCTTGAATGCTGGGGTAACAGGGGTGTGCCTCAATGCCTGTTTTATTTAATTCTAGTTATGGTAGACTGCTAAACATACTCTTCCAACTGAGCTATCCCTAGCCAAATGCACAAAACCCCTTAGTCTAGTAGCCATTATGGGGCAGGAGCTGGGCAGGGTGGAATGCCTACAAAGGAGAGCCCACATCTACCCTCCAACCTGTGCTGTGGATGAAGAGGCAATGCTGCCCTTCCGGAAAGATCTACTACCTTCCACCAGTGGAATGATAGGGCACAGGAAGCTTGAAACCCCAGGGGAGGAGTGGGGCCTGATGAGAGCTGCCTTCCTGCCCTCCCCCATGCTCATCCCCTGAAACAGATCTGGGTACCCTGTAGGAGTGATAACGGGCTCCAGCAACCCTCCCTCTATAATCCCTGAAGCCACCTGACTTCTTCTTAGTCTTTCAGGTACAGCCCGAGGCCACCTCCCCAGGAAGGCATTTTGATTCTTCTATAGTGTGTGTGGTCCTCCTGGCTCTCCTACCCAGAATCCCCCACGATCATCACACCAACCACATAGACTGTGGATGGACAGTGACAGGGTTGGGAAAAGCCAGCACAGGAGGGAAGGAAGGAGATGGGTGTTTGGAGAACAGCCCTACTGAGGCCCCTGCTGACCATGATCCCCCAGTGGCAGCCTTCATCAGAGCCCAGGCTGAAGAGCTGCTTTAGGACTGTGCCTGGGATTGCCCGGCTTCAGTCTCTCCATCCTCCCCACAGGCCACTGGTTCTCACCCAGCACTGACAGCGCGAACCTCCTCTCGGCGCGCCCAGCTGTATTCTCAGCCACGCAGCTGTAGACGCCAGCATGTGAGGCCCTCGCCTGTTCCATGTGTAGGCTGTGGTTCTGATTCTGAAGCCACAAGCCAGGTTCCACACTGACAGGCTGACCATCCTTCTCCCACATCACCACTGGCGGGGGCTTCCCTGTGGCATTACAGTCCAGGGTGGTATTTCCATCCTGGACCATGGAGATGGTCATGAGGGGCTCCCGAAGGCCAGTGATCTGAGGTGGAACTGAGGTAGAGAGGAAGCCTCAGTGACAGTAGGCAGGGCTATCCGATCTCAGGTGTGACTGGTGCTAGGGTCCTGGATGACACAGCCACTTAAGCCTGAGTTCCTCCTTTCACTACAAGATGTGTGTCCTTGCCTGCTCACTTCTCTGAGCCTTTCCATCTCCGTGGCAGAGTGACAGCTGCATTTCTCAGTGACCTCTCAGACACACCGGGGATCTGAGTGGGCCGCTCCTTGGGGACTGGACCCAGCCATTCCTTGACTGCGTAGTTTCAGTCTCACAAACGGGAGTTTCTCTAAGTTGCCCACGCTGACCTCAAAGTTGTATTCCTTCTGCTTAGCCTTTCAAATAGGGCCTACAGTGCCCAGTACCTCTCTGGGATTCATTTCCTAGCACTTCTGTTGTATCACACAGAACACACTGTGTGACTGAGGATGACCTTGAACTCCTGATCTTCCTGCTTCCTTCCCAAGTGTGAGGATTACACACTGGGCAAGCACTCTAGCAACTCAGCAGAGCCCTCAGTCCTGCTAGCATGGTTTTTACAAGGCCAGGATATTTCCTTTCATCCTCTCTCTCTCTCTCTCTCTCTCTCTCTCTCTCTCTCTCTGCATGTGTGTGTTGTGCCTGCACATGTGTGTGCCTGAGGTCTGCATATGGAATCACCCTCAGTTGTTTTTCCACCTTATTCACTAAAGCAAGGCCTCTCAATCAACCCCAGAGCCCACTGATATAGCTAGTCTCATCAGCCAGCATTCTCTGGGCACCCCCTGTTCCTGCCTTCCAAGGCTAGGACCCAAGTGGACTATCATGCCCACCTGTCATTTACATGGGCTCTGGGGATTCAAACTCTGGTCCTCATGCTTGCGTGGCAAGCACTTTAGCCTCCAAGCCATCTCTCCAGCAGGACTCATGTCACTGTGCGTGGGCTCTATAGGAGCTTTGTGCACGCTCATTTCCAACCATCTCAGGGCACACTTTCTCCTGAGACTGGCCTGGAAGGACAGGCAAGTGCCCAGCCTTGCTGTTCCCACCGTTGTGTGGTCTAGGCCTCAGATCTGCCCACTCACCACGCACACTCTCCCCAGCTCTGACGGGGCTCACCCAGAACCTCCAGCTGCTGCTCCTGGCTGCTGCTCCCAGCTGCGTTGCTGCATTCACAGGTGTACGTCCCCTCCTGGGCCGACTGGGCCTGTCCCAGGTACAGCAGCCTCCCGACTGCCAGCACCTGTTCCAGGCCATCCCCCTCCCCAGGCAGGGGCTGACCTGGGGCAGTGAGAAAACGGTCCTGGTCCAGGGACCTGAGGTCCTTTCCCAAGGAACAGTGGTCCTCCCACTCTCTTCACCCCCAGTGCCCCCCCATATATGACATCTCTTCCAGGAAGCCTTCCCCAAGTCCTGTCTCAGCTGCCATTCTCCCAACTTTGGGCTTCTTAGCATGACCTGCCCCATTCCACTGGAGGTAAAGCTAAGCCATTCACAATGACCCCCAGTCCAGCCCCCATCACTGTCTGGGCCATTTCCCACTATGACCTTCTGGCTGACTCTGCTGCATCTCTACTGACTCTACTGCAGTCCCCAAAACATGTTTGGCTTGCTCCTGCCCCAGGTCCTTTGCACCTACCATGGCCTCTGCCTGGAATGCCTCTCTTTGCTTTATACTGTGTCATCCGTCACCCCAAGGTCAAACATCCCAGCCCCATAACTTAAAATTCCAAATCCTGGCCACACATGCATTTTCCCTTTGTAACCTCCATGAGGCCCAGAGTAACTTCCTCAGTTTCTGTTTGTCACCTGACCGCCCAGGTGAGGGTAGAGCTTGGTCTGTTTTGCTGTCTTCCCAGGTCCCAGACCAAAAACAAAACAAAAACAAAAAACCCTGTCCAATGTGCTTTCCAGACCGGGTTAAGAGAAACTCTCACAGTATTTTTGCACTGGGCTGGAGGGATTTTGAATGAGGCAGTGGCCAAAACAGTGCCTGTGTGGCTCACAGACTGAAGGAGGGGCAGATAGCCGTGCAGGAGGCCCTGCCCGGTCAGGGCGTGGGGAAAGACATCCTGGCAGAAATGACAGGGATTTGGGGCCTGAAGATCAGCCTGCTGTCATGGACTAAAGAGGCCTGCAGATGGGGACAAAGCAGGGAGTTGGGGAAAGCAGCACTCTGCAGCTGGCCTGGAAACTCACAGCACTCACTGGAGTGCTGGGTGAGGGGTGCTGGGTGAGGGGTGCTGGGGGAGGGGTGCTGGGTGAGGGGTGCTGGGTGACAGGGTGCTGGGGGAGGGATGCTGGAGAAGGGGGTACTGGGTTTGGGTAGCCATCCTACCATCTTTCCTCCATGAGATTTTGGGGAAGGGAATTCCCTGGCAGTCGCACGACAGTCTGGCGGTCTGCCCCTCACGCACGGTCAGAGTGTAGGGCTCCTTTGAGGGGAATGCTGGAGGGACTGGTTCAGAGCAGACAGGAGTTGGCAGGGGGGCTGGGTGGGAGGAGGGTTGTATCCTGGGGCCCAGATAGGAATCTCTTCTCCCTGGCATCTGAAAGCTAGCCCCAGGGTAGGGGACCGGGAGACCCTCACCCCAGACGTTCAGGTTGAAGTGCTTCTCAGAGCGGCCCGCCTGGTTAACAGCCTCACAGGTGTAGCGGCCTGCATCCCACACTTCCACTCGGTCCACCTGGCCGGGAGCAAACACAGCTGGTCAGTGAGTCAAGCAGAGGTGGTGTCACCCTCGTCACGCCATATGACCTCACTGAGCCCTGATCTCCCTGCCTAGAACATGAAACTATGACAGCACCTCCATGCCCAGGGCACCGAGAGGTTCCTAGAGGCCAGAGCCTCTCCACAGCACCCTTCTGGCTCCCCACATGGTACACACAGACCAGAGTATGTGCTAGGAGGCACACAGTGAGCCAGTCATACACCAGCCCTTCTCACCCCATCCCTCAGATCCTCCAACAGAACCAATCAGAAGAGAAGGTGGACAGTGAAGCATGATGGGTAAAGAATCTGCCATCTCGGGGTCAGACCCTGACCTGGGGGGGCAATGAGGCTTCACTGTGGCTTTGGAGAATGGAGGAAAGGAGAGGAAACCAAAGGGAGATGCTGGGAGATGGGATGCTCGTATCACAAGGCAGCGAGAGGTAGGGGAGGAGGGGCATCAAGCATAAGCCGGGGTCCTGAGGGAGATCCTGAGAGCTCTGTGTTCCGGTGGGTGATCACTGGCCACATTGGGTTGAACAACGCTTACAGGGACCTGGGACACCCATAAGTCCTGCCCTGCCCTGCTCAGGCAGCTCCTCTGGGCAGCCAGCTGCACACCTCCAGTAAGGCCTGGTCTGCAGAGAGGCGGATGCCAGGGTGAGGCTCCAGGGGTCTCCCGTCCTTCCGCCATCTCAGCACAGGGGGCGGCACAGCGTGACTCTGGCACTCCAGTGCCACCGACTCATTGACCACGACAGACATGTTCAGCTCTTCTCCGAGGATGCTGGGGGGCACTGTGAGTGCAGAAAGGGAAGGGACCCCTTAGGTAGGTGATGGGACACCAGGATAAGCCATAACTGAGTTGGCCTGGCCAATTCCTGCATCCATGGGCAAAACCCCCTCCCCCCCAGGAAGAGAGTCATATCCAGCCTACACCCCCGCCACCTCAGCCCTGCTTTACAGGCTTGCTGACAAGTGCCTTTGCCTCTGAGCCCCAGCCCCCTCAGTTAGGGAGCCAGAGAATGCTGAGCTTCCCTCCTGACTGTTCGTACTTCCTGTGCCTGCTTCTTCCCATTTGCCCTAACCACAGAGCTCCTGGCCGTGCACGGCCACTTGCCTGCCACCTGCCCACCCACGGGGACACTCATGCCCCAGGACAGGTTTCTAGCATCTAATCGAGACCACAAGGTCAGTTGGTGACTCCCATTTTTTTCCCATCTGCACCCCTGCTGACCCCAGGCACATGGCCGCCCAGCCCAGCTTCTTGGAGTGGCTGCTTTCCCCCCAGCTCCTCAGCCCCGTCCCAGGCTGGAGACTCACTGTGAACTTGCAGGACAATGTCCCGGCGGTCCTCACCCACAGCACTCACTGCCACACAGGAGTAGCTGCCTGCGTCGGGAGCACGGGCACTGGCCACGGTGAGGACTTGGCCTCCGGGGAAGATCTGTGCCCCCAGAGGCAAGTCCACAGTTAACACAGCTCCGACTACAGGGATGCTACCTGCCTTCACAAGCTGGCCCTGGGCCATACCTACCTGAATCCTGCTCCAGACACTTGGAGGTCCCCCAAGCTGCACCCTGACCTCAGGACCCCTGCTGACTGGTGGCAGTTTTATGTATTTCTAGAAGAGTCACCTTAGTGTCATTCTGCCCACTACCATGGCCGCTTGCTGTGTGGAGCCAGGAGACCTCAAGGGGCTATCAAATTGATTCGAGCCACATACATAAAACAGAATGTCTTATGAGTGACTTTTTGTATCTGTCACAAGACAAAAGTAACCTTTCCTGGCAATGGACGTGATAACATTAAAATTGGTTTGCTTTTGCCATGAGTGGTATGGCACGCCTTTAATCCCAGCACTTGGGGCAGAGACAGGCAGATCTCTGTGAGTTCAATCCAGCCTGGTGTACATGTGACATAATGAGTTCCAGGACAGCCGGGGTTACATGGTGAGACTCTGTCCCAGAAGCAAGAGAAAAATTGATTGGTTTGCTTGTTTTTGTTTTGTTTTTGAGAGAAGGTCACGTGTAGATGATGCTGATCTTGAACTTGACATATAGCCAAGAATAACCTCCTGCCTGCACCTCCTGAGGCTGTGACTCCAGATGTGCTGGCGTGCCTAATCCATGCAGCGCTGGGGGCTTCATGCATGCTGGGCAAGGGATCTACCAGTTGCTACAACCCAACATTTTCTATTACTTCTTTTTGAGGGAGGGTTGAAGCAGGTCCCACTGTGCAGCCTACACTGGCCTGGGCGATCATGGTGATCCTCCTGCCTCAGCCTCCCGAGTGCTGGGGGTTTGGGCATGCACCATCATTGGTAGCTCCTTTTTCCTCATTTCAACGTGGCTACAAACACTCTAGGCTACATATTGGGCTGACATTGGTGGCATATACCATGTTGCAGCGGGTAGGAACTCTGCCTCTCCCTTACCCTAGGTTCCCAGGGCCTGACCTCTGCTACCAGTCTATACGGGAGACAGCAGGAGGTTCCTCAGACGCCACCCAAAGCTACTGACCTTGAGGCCAGGGGTCCCTTCAGGGGATACAGGGTTTCCATCCTTCAGCCATATCAGTGTAGGGTTGGGGGTGCCAGTGGCGTTACAGGTCAGGCGGAAGGGTGTGCCAAGGAGTACAGGGCCCGGCAGGCTGGGTGGCAGGGTGATTCGGGGTGGCACTGCGAAGAGGGTGGCAGGGAAGCAGGGGACAGAGTTGAGTCCCATGTGACATGGGCTGGCGTGCCCCCAGGAGCACAGATCACAAACAAAAGCGTAGTTGTGACATCCCAACCCAGACACTGTGTGAACCCACCAGGGGCTTCTACTAATGAGAAATGAGGCTGACTGAGGGGAGGTCACCTCACCGAGGCTAATCAGCTAGAGTGTGGCAGACGCCACACTTGAACTCAGGTTTTGGGTCAGCAGAAGTGATTTATCTTGGGGACAGTATGGGAAGCAAGAGTTGAGTGTCCTCCTGACTTGAGTCTCAGATATGACACTGTCATCCTGGGAAAACTATAGCCAAAAGATCTTGCTCTAGCCAGGAGGATTTAGGGATAAGAGTTACTCTCTCTTGGCCCCTGAGACCCAAGCAGTTGAGCTCCAGATGGCTACCAACAGCATCCAGGACCCTCTTAGTTTGTATGTAACAGGCATGCCCCGTGTTGGGAAATGTTAGCCCCCGGCATTCCATGGCTAGTACCATCCTCACCAGAGCAGCTATGACTTCCTGTTTGAGAACCGTACAAGACTGGGCTTGCTGGGGTTCCCTCATTGAAGGAGAAGGTGGGGAGGCTGCTTCCTCCCCTGCAGCTGCGCATGGTCTCTGGGGGGTGTAAGAGGGTGCTAGAGGCAGATTAGGAGATGGGAGATTGATGAAGGGGGGACGCTAGCCATGCAGCCTTTGAGATGCTGAGATAAGGCTTTTTTGTCTATGTTCTTGTTTAGGGATCATCTATACTCCTATAAGAAACCCGTGTTCCTATAAGTAAGCCCAATAGACTCATTGGTTCCCCAAGTGAACTTGGGTGGAATCATTCCTTTGGTCTGACATTGGGGCCCTATGTGGGATGGATTAACCTTTGATCATATGGCCTTAGGGAAAGTTCTCCAACACCCAGTCTTCATTCAGTTTCTCATGTTTCCTACATCTATATCTGTAGCTTAGATGGGGGACTAGATCAATGATGAGGTGAATGGGCACAGGATTGGATGAATGGATGTTGGATCAATGACTGATGTGCAGTTATCCATATACATAGATGGGAGATTAGATGGCTGGGCAAATGGATGAGCAGAAGTTTGGAATACATGGATGGATGGGTCAATGGATAGGCAGTCAGTTGTTTAACAAGGGTAAATGCAAGGCTGGCTAGCTGGATGGTGAATGGGTAGATAGATGGATGAATGGATGCATGAATGTTTGGATAAATGTGTGAATGGTGGTTCAGTGGGTAGATGGGTGGATGTAGGAGGAAATGGATGGAAGGATTGGTAAGTAGATAGATGGATGGATACATAGGTGAGTGGATGGGGGTGGGAAGATAGTAAATAGATGAATAGATGGAGAAGTAGATGGTAGGTGGGTAGACATATGGGTGAATGGATGGATACCTAGGTGGGTGATGGGTGCATGGAAAGATAGGTGTGTGACTAGTAGGTGGGCAGATGGATGGATATATAGATGGGGAATGGACAGATGAATGAATGGGCAGATAAACTGAAAAACAAGTGTACAAGAAACAGAAGGCTAGACAAATGGAAAGAAAACAAGCATTTTGGGAAAGGCCCTATAGTTCTGGCCACTCACCATTGACCCGTAAGCCATACTGCAGCCCCGCACTGCCTGCCACGTTGGTCGCCACACAGTGGTAGCTCCCTGCATCAGAAAGCTGGGCTCGCTCAATGTGAAGAACTCTTCCGTCAGCTGATACTATCATCCCTCTCTGGGTAGAGATAGGCTGGTGGCCCTTGAACCAGGAGACATCTGGGAGAGAAGATTTGCAAGCATCCTATCAGCCATTGACAGTTGGCTGTAAGGGCATTCAGAGAAGCTTGCAGAGCAAGCACACACTTCTTCCAATGGTGTTCTTAGGAAGGGGAGAGAGGAGAGAACAGAGCAGCATCACAGGAGACAAGACCAGGGGCTAAGACGAAGCCCCAGGATGGGGGCTAGTCAGCCAGGGCCAGGCAGGCAAAGCCAGCCAACCCTCTTTCCCCACAGCCACCCTTACACAGGAACGCATAAAGGAAGGCAATCGCCCTGGACAACAGCAAGGATGGAGGCAAGGATGGAGCATTGTGCCTTGGGCTTTTTTTTTTTTTTTTTTTTTTTTAACCTCCATCCAGGGCTCATCATACCTCCCCAGGGGCTCTACAGGAGGTAAGTACTTCCTGGGCTCACCCACTTGAAATGTCTTGGCTCATGAGAGGACAGGAAATGGGCTTTTCTCCTGGAACATGGATAATCCCACCCTACCCTGGATGTGGGCACTCTATAGTTCACCCAAGTGCCTGGTCCTTTTCCTTCAGCTGGTCTGGAGAAGAAACCCAAATTCAGGGATCCTATACATCAGTGCCAGGCTGGACCAACCCAGGGTGCTAGAACCTTTAAACAGAACTCTTACAGGTTTGTTCCTGATCTGCATACAAAGCTCTGGGCACTTGCAGCCTCTTTACCCGGGGAATTGGGACTGCCTAGAAGGGACTTTTGGCCAAGGGCAAGGGGGACTTACCTGGAGGGGGCACACCTGAAGCCAGACACTCCAAGGTCACGGAGGCATTCTCCAGAACGGCCTTGTTGACTGGGCCTGGCTCAATGTTAGGGGGAACTGGGGGGTTACAAGGAGAGAGTCCTCTTGGTGGGTGTGGGCTCTGGGCAGCTACACTCCCAGCCACTCTTCCATCTTTCCCCACTCCTCCTAAAGGGTTTTGGTGAGAAGGCTCACATCCTTGAACTAGGGAGCTTGCCCTTAGAAAAGCCCCAAATCAGAGCAGGGGCTGTGAGATCTTCACTGAGGTCATCCAGGGCTCCCAGGTCCCACCCCAGCCCCAGGGAGGAGCCAAAGCTGGCACAATGAGAGTTGGAATCCCAGGCAGACCTGGAGTAAGCAGGCATGGCTTGTCCATGATGCCAGGGACACATATGAACCCCCAAACATAAATCTAGCCAGCAAGGGAACCATTACATGGGCAAGATGACCACTGACAACCATCGCAAGGGTCTGCCAGCTACTGCTTTGTCTCAGTATTGTCCACCCTTTGCAAAGTTAAGCACAGAGCTGTGATCCAGAACGTCCAGTGCCACCAGTCACCCCAGGCTTTGGACCCCACCGAGCTGCATTCCTCACCCAGAACCTTTAGTGTTATGTTCTTCTTGCTCTCCCCTGCCAGGCTGGTGGCCGCACAGGTGTAGATACCTTCATCTCTCAGGTCTGCCTTCTCGATCTGGGGGAGAAGGGTCTGGGGATGAGGGGAAGCCACAGAGTCCAGGATCAGGCCACAGGTGGTGAGGGGGCAGAGCATGGGAATGGCCACCACAAACAGGTGTGAGCATTGTAAGTGAGCTGGAGGCTCAGCACCCACATTCCTAGGCTTCTCTCTTCTCCATGATAATGTCTCTGTCTTTTCCCCCTGGTAGCTAAGCTTCTATGGGCTGGACCAGGCTAAGGGACCCCTCCACTTCCCAGGCATAGTACCCCTGGGCCTATTCAGTGTGTACATGCTGAGAGGGCTCCGTTGTTCCACCTGTCTGCAAAGACTGTGCTCAGGGTTTCCAGGACCTCCAGAACCAGTCCTGGGTCCCTAACTGTACCTGAAGGCTGCCCCCTGAGGTTGCCACGGCCACGCCATCTTTCCACCAGCGAAGGCTTGGGGTAGGCACCCCAGTACCTACACACTGGAGGGTTACAGGCTGCAGGAAAGGGGCTGTGAGGTTCTCACCACCGATGATGCGCACTGATGGGAGCTCTGGGCAGGAGAGATGAAGAGAGCCTGTGGTGGGTACCCAGTAATTCCCCAAATGGCTAAAAGTGAAAGTGTGGCTTGGAAGGCCTGGCCAAAAAATGGTTTCTAGTACCCCTGATCCTCAAACATTTGGATAAGGAAAGGAGCTTGAGACAGAGAGCCAACAGAAGAGTGCTTTCCCTTTGAAAGTTCTCCCAATATACATATCCACCCATCTACCCACCCATCATCCATTCATTCCCTTATCCATCCATTTATCCACCCATCCACCCATCCATCCACTCATCCATTCATCCATCCACCCATTCGTGCATCCATTCACGCATTGATCAACTGACTGATCATCCATCCATCTATCCACTCACTCATTCATCTATCCACACATCCATGCATCCACCCTACATCCATGCATCTACCCCAATATCCATCCATCCATCCATCCACCCATTCATGCATCCATTCACGCATCGATCAATTGATAGATCAGTTGATCCATCCATCCATCCATCCATCTATCTACTCACTCATTCATCTATCTGCACATCCATGCATCCACCTAAATATCTACTCATCCATCCATTCACTTACTCATCCATCCATCCATCCATTCACTTATCCATTCATCCACCCATCCATTCATGCATCCACACATATATCCATCCATCCACACATCCATTGATCTTTCTATCCATTTACACATCCATCTATTTACTCATACATTCATCTACCTGTCCATTCATCCACCTACCTACTCACCCACATACCCACCTCCTCATCCATCTAGCCCATGCATTCACCAACTAAACTATCCACCCATCTTGCTACCCACCTAACTGCCTATCCATTCATCCCATTAACCATTCACTCATCTATCTATCCATATGAGTTCATAAGAGCGTTAGGTGTCTGTTCTAGGACCAGAACAACTGTAGGCACTAGATAAAATGAAGGAGATCACCATACTACCCTTTCGGAGCTCACAGAGTGGGCGTAGAGGAGAGGACAGTTGCACAGCCACTCCAGAGAAAGTGGGGTGGTAGGAAGTAGACATGAGAGACAGAACAGTGGGGATGAAACATGGTGGAAGCAAGGAACTTTCTCGCAAGAAAGGGAAGACCTGAAAAACAAGGAGGAACTAGGCAGACTCAGAGGTAAGACGATGGATGCTTATTAATTAAAGGTTTGAATGGTGTTAGATGTGTTCATCAGGATGAGAGGGAGTGGAGAAATCTCCAGGCAGCCAGACAGGATGGTTGACAGCCTCTCCCACCCACATGTCTTTGAAAGTCCATGCTAGAAGCCACCCAGAGCAGACAGATCCTGTGTGGTTCACAGGCCTGCCGTGCTGTCCATCAGCCCCTCCATTTCAGGTTTCCCAGTGCCCCAGATACCCGCTCACCATGCACAGAGACCTCCACTTCGGCCCCAGCTGTGCCTGCCTCGTTGGTGGCCTGGCAGGCAAAGAGGCCTGCGTGGCTCAGCTCCACGTGGCTGATGTGCAGCATGGTCCCTTGGGAGGCCAGCTGCACTCCAGCCAGCTCCTCCGCTGGGCGGCCATTCTGCAGCCACCTGAGGTGGGTGGAGAGGGTGTCAGGTCCCCCTGAAGCCTCTCTTCCATGGCTTAATGATCATGTTCACTTTCCCAGGCACAGGAATGGCTCACCCTCCCTTCACCACAACCCACATTCTGCCTGGCCCCTCACTGCCCGTTTCTATACGTACTGGATGGTGGGCACTGGGGAGCCTGTTGCCTGGCAGGGAAGATCCAGAGACTGTCCTGCGACGGCAGTCACCTGGCCCATGCCTTCAGCTACCAGCAGCTGTGGGGGCACTGTGGGCAGGAAATGCGATTGACTGGAATTCATCCCAGCCTTCAGCCCCAGTCTCACCACAGCCTTCTAGTCTCTCTTCAAATGTTCCTCCAGGAGGCCTTCCAGGGCCACTAAAGGCCAGAAGAGAAGCCTCTATGGCCTCCCGCCCCAGAGACCATCTATCATGTGTGTCCTCAGAAAGACTCAGGGCCTGGAGTCCTGTCTGCCTTGTCGTTTGCTCTGTCTTATGTCACAGGAGCCACATAGAGTCATGTCTGAGAAGGTCAGAAAGGAGTGTCAGCCTTGGGTCTCAGACAGGCCCTGGGAAATGCTCATTCTGTGGATGCAGAACATCCTTCTTCCTGGATGAGCTGGTCCAGGACCATGGGCAGGAACGAGGATCAGAGCCCCGGAACTCAACCTTGCCTCTCCCACCATGTGCTTCCAGCCCAGCTCTCACTGTTCATCTATGAGATACAGGAAAAGGGAACACATGGCTTCCCTGCCACACAACCCCCTCTGGGGCCAATCATGGAGCAGGCATGGGAGGAGAGCCGCCCACAGCTCACCCTGCACCTCCACCGAATACTGGAGTATGGCCTCTCCAGCGGGGCTGCTGGCCACGCAGCTGTAGAGGCCGCCTGACGCCTCTCCCGGGTTCTCCAGCTGCAGGGTGCCTCCTGCCTCCAGCCACGTCCCGTTGCTGTCCACCACTGGCAGCCCTTCATGCTGCCAGGAGAGGGTAGGGGGTGGATGGCCCCTGGCCACACACTCCAGTGCCACGGGTCTCCCAGCAACAGCCTGCACCAGGTACGGGCCTCCGTCGGCGCCCTCGATGCTGGGTGGAACTAAGAAAGAGGCAGGGCTGTCTCAGGGACCAACAGTTGCGGCTATGCTTCCCAGCCTTATTCCGTTAGCTAGACCTCGCTCAGACACGGTCTCTCTCCTCCAGCAAGCCCCTCTCGGACTCCTGCTGGAAAAGCCTCATTTCTAGCCCCTGTTTGTATCTCTTCTGTGGTCACTACCGCTCAGAAAGCTTGTCACCAGGAGAACACTAGCCTGTTTCCTGAACAAAGCGATGGGTCTCCATGACTGTGGACTGGTCTGGAATTCTTTCACAGAGTGAGAGAGCTGATGGTTAAGGCAGAGCTGAGCCTGATTTTGGAGAGTCCTGACATCTGAAGTGTGCTTATGGCTCACTGCAGCCTGAGGTGGTGGTGGCAGGGGGAGCGTGTCCCTCAGGCCCCGGGTCGCAGAGCTGATAGAATCAGCAGCAGAGGACCCTGTGCTGAGCTGGACTCGAGGTGCTTCCAACCTTATTAGGTCCCTGAGGCTCTTGGAGAAGGTAATGGACAGCAGTTTTCAGTCCACTTCAGAGGGTGTCAGAGCCTCATGGGGTCCCTGGTGTCAGGTGCCTCAGTGGCTCCCATTCTTCCCTCAACTCACTGTCTCCACCCTTCAGCACCTAAACCATTTGTTCACCAGGGGTTAAGTGGTTCCCATCGACCCTCAGGCTGTGCCCCAACACCTCACAGCACTCTGCTCTGCCCAGCCCAGGCCTAGCCTCATCTTTTCTCAAGAGTGTGCCCCATTTTTTTCTGAGACCACTCTTCAGGGTTGCCAACTCAGAGATGTGACATCAGACCCTCCCAGGAAGGGGCAGAGCCCACGTGTCCCTGAGGTATGAGCTGGGAAAGCCTCTTCATCCCATGGGTACACAAGAGGCCAAGAGCTTTCAGCAGCTTGGTCTACCGTGTGTCCGCAGGCCCTGGGCCTTGCTTTAAGCCCAAGCTACACAGGAGGAGCTAGACTCTGCATTGAGTCCCACCTAGGCCCTGCCTCTAGCCTCAGTTTCCTCAACTGCACAAAAGGTGGAGAGCTGAAATGAACCCTGCCCTTTAATGGCTCCACTGAGGGATGTGTGGCCTTCTGGGATAGTCACCTCATAAGTCTCATCAGAGCCCCACATGGTGGGAGGTGCTGGAGACGGAGAAGGACATTGTCTTTGGTCACTCAAGTGGCCACCTTCCATTGGCTCTTGGGGACAGTCAGAGGTCACCTCACACTGCCCACACCAGCTGCCCAACGCTGCCACCCCCTGGCCACGCACCATAAACCTCCAGACTGGTAGATTTCTTGGCGACCCCTGCAGCGTTGCTGGCCTCGCAGGTGTAAAGGCCAGCGTGGGTGTGCTGCGCCTTCCCCAGCTGTAGCTGCCGGCCGCCCTTGTTGAAAACCACTTCTGAGCTGGGAGCCAGCAGGCGCCCATCTTTGTACCAGGCGATGTCAGGGGCTGGCACTCCTCGGGCCTCACACAGCAGCTGTGCTGTGTGGCCCTCCAGGACAGTCACCTCACCGGTCTCATTCGAGCCCCGGATGGTGGGAGGGACTGGAGACAGAGAAGGACATGAGGACGATCACAGACTAACAGAGTCAGCTGACATTCCCTGGGCATCATGCACACACCCCAGGCTTCTACTGGAGGGGCTGGCAGACATGAAGGATGAAGGAGGGATGTGGGGACACAAACGGAAGGGCCAGCTCAGGGACATGCTAATGTGGGAAGCAAGCCCAGTTGCTACGGGTAGGGATGGTGCAGGTGGGGAGAGGGGCCACAGACTTGAGCTCTGGAGCCCACAGTGCCTCTAACTCACTGTATAACCTGGGGTAGGTCCTTTCCCCTCTCTGGGCCTCGGGGTCCCCATCTGTGGAGGAACTTGATCAGGGCTCCCCCAAGGGCAGGGCACTCACAGCTGGTACCCAGGATGATGGCTGAGGTCCTTGGGTACAGTGTGACATCACTCTGCCTCCCAGAACCATGCCCTCCTAATTCTCCTGTCCCCTGCTGTCAGTGAGGGAGAAGGCTGCATCTGAGGCCACTGTGTCACTGATGTACTAGCAGAGATGTAGTCCGTGTGTGTGTGTGTGTGTGTGTGTGTGTGTGTGTGTGTGTGTGTGTGT